TCCACAGTTTTGGCATAGCGGCACGCCTTGGGCCACCCATCCATCGATTTGGCCGAATTTCCATTCCGTTCTCGAGCCCTGCGGTTGCTGATAGTTTACGCGGTTCTGTTGATAGTTCCCTTGATCCCGGTTTTGATTAAAGTTGCCATTCCCTTGGCCATTATTCCAATTGGCGTTTCCGTTTCCATATTGATTTCCGATATTTGGCCTTCCTTGCCGAGGTGGCATCCCTACGTTCAGGGGATTCGGCATCACATTTGCCGGAGCCGCTGGTCTTGCCTGCGCAAGTCATCACCTCCGCAAGTCATCAAGATGATGACTGCGCTTGTATCGCAGCGACCATGGCATATAAGATCGGTTGCCCAATTTGGCTATCGATGAAGGTGATTTCCTTCTGAGTCGGAGTTAGCGATCTCGTTCTGTACTCCATCTGTTGAGTTGGTGCAGCTGCATATTGCTTCGGGGCCATCTTAACTTGGCGAATGGTTACGCAATCCGGTTGATTGCGTTGACCTTCAACCACCTTATATTTGTCTTCTCCAGCTGCCCATGATCGGAAGAAGTCCTTAATTTCCGTTGGCGTCTTGAACCATTTTGTTTTCAGCGCCTTGTAGAGATCGTTGTCACCTCTACATCCATCGATTAGGAAGGCAACTGCCTGTAGCTCGGTGATGGCCTTCTTCGCCTTGAACTTCATTATCGCTTGATAAAACTGATCAAGCGTCTCTTTTCCGGGTTTGAATTTTTTGGCCATGGTCTCACGTAAGCCATGGACTTCCTCATTGCGATCACCGAACTCATCTTTGAATTTGTTAAGCCATTCCGTGATCGTGTAGACCTCATCTTCGGCTTTTTCGATATCCCTTTCGCCGTCAAACCAGATCTTTGCTGGTCCCCTTACGGCGCTGGCTATGTCGATCAAGCTCTGTTCGTCGGTTAGGTCGTATGTTCGTTGTGTTTCTTTTACCAAACGAATCCATCCGTTTACCGCATCGCGGTTACCGTCAAAAGTCGCGAGATTAGTTTTCCGGCCTATATTCCTGATGGATCTATTCAGCTCCCTTGTATCATTTTCTTCGTTTCGCTCATTTCGTCGACTTCGTTCGTTTCGCATTTCTTAGTAGTATCTACCGTCATGTTCATGTCGGGGGGAACGTGCGTCGCGATTTCCGTCTTCCTTAACGAAGACTGTCGTTTCGATGTGCCGGGCGTTAACGAAGACTGTCGTTTTTCGGTTTCCTTATCCTTCTCCGTTTTATCGTTACCTCTACCGCCACCCGTTCGTAGCGGTATATCGAAGTGGAAGCTCCCGCCAGTTCCTTGTGCCTTACTGTAACTAGGCGGGGGCGAGTCAGTGGTGTCCTTTTTCACACCGAACTGTAAGAGTTGCTCATCCTTATGCTTATTCGTCATCTGGAGAGCTTTATTCTCATCTACCAGACGTCTGGTTTTTAAGGTGAGCTCATCTCTCTCTTTTCTTAATCGGTCGTTGTCCTGTTTGAGCTTCTGTGAAACACTCTAAAGTTTGCTAGTGCGGTTGTCGATGTCTTTTTTATTTTCGTCTTTTACTTTGTTGATCTGTTAGCCCAACTGAATCACCTGTTGCTCCAGCTTTGTGTACCCTTCCGCTGCTGCTATCAGCTGGGTTCAAGGTTCCGCGGCTTCATCTTCTCTGGCCATTGCCGTCGTTGTCATCGCAGTCAGCTCCGTATTGAGTCTGATGTTCTCTTGGAGCTGCTGATGAACATGTTGCTGCCATTCTTTATCTTTTCGTTCAAGTGCTGTGATCACCGTGTCTAGACGGAGTGCTTCCTGTCCCCATCTCAGACCTTGCTCAACAGCTGTTTGGGCATCTCCTTTGAGCTTCTCATTCTCTTCGGTGACCTCTTTGGTTCCTTGTTTGAGTTGTTCACCTTCAGTAGCTCCAAGATCTCTAAGCTTCTTTGCCACTTGGAGTGCTTCATCAGCTCGTTTCTGATGAGCTTTCGACTCGTTTGAAGGATGCTAATTGACTCATTCCTTAGCTTCAGGTCGTTCCTGTGCTTGTATACATCCGTTGTCATCGTTGTTAGACGTTGTGTGGCCTCCGCTAGATTGGTTGCGTATTCATTCCGTTTGATCTCAGCTTCATTTGCCTTTTTCCGCAGCTCATCACACTGATCCTTTAGTTCAGCTAGATGTCGTGGTCTTTCGGCAGTCTCTTCGGACATGCTTTCATTGAGCTCATCTACTGCGATGAATTTTTCGACTTCCTTATCATCAGCCACCTTCTGAGCTTCTTCGGCAATCTCCTTTTGTCGCTCGTATCTGATTTTTCATTCTGTCACCGCATTTTCCAGAACACCATGTTGTTGCTCCATCTCGTATACGTAGGCTTCGAGCGAGTTTATCCTGTTCTGGTATTCCTGCTTCCTTTGGAGGATCTGACATTCCTTTTCTTCCAGTGAAGCCTCCAGTTCACTGATCTGTTTCTTCAGGTTTGAGGTGGGGCTGTTCGGAGATGGTGAGCGCACGTTGATGACTTTTCCCGTTTGCGTTCGTTCAATTAAATGTTCCGGTATGTCCTTGAACGATATGATCCCTTCCGCGCGGTCAGCTTCCTTCATTGCCGTTCTGAACGACATGTTCATTGTCACGTCGTCATCATTGAAGTACGATTCGTTCACGCGCCCGGTTTTCTGATCTCCCATTATTTCGTGGAATGACATCGGGCTCTCAAACAGATCCTCTACTGTGACTTCATCATGCAGCGAGAGATCATCTAACTTCAGCTCGTTGAGATCCTCGTCAGTTGCTTTTGACTGTGTGTTTAGCTCCGATGTGACGGGGATGGCTGTGGCATCCTTCTGTGACGTCGCATCCATCTCCTTTGCTCGTTCTGAGCTCGTTCCCTCTTTGGTGCCCTGCTGGTTCACCTCGCTACTTACCGCCGCAGGCGCGGGAGATCGTTTCCGATCATCACTGGAGCTTTCCTGACCTGACACTGCTTCGAGTGCCTTCTCGTAGGTCATATCGGAGCCTCGAAAGTCCTTCCTCTTAAAGGCTTTAGGTGCTCGAGTGGTTCAATCATGTACAACTGGACGTGTGTATGAGTTCATGTCCTTCTTATACGGATTAGGTGCGTCTTGCTGAGATCCGCGAGAGCCTCGGCTCCCCTGACTGCTGTTAGATGCCGGTTCGATGATGTCTTTGTCCATAGTTGATCGGATAACTGAGACACACCAGTCGATATTCCTCACACACACTTTATAATAAGATCGTTCAGATCCCTATAGATCACTTTTTCAGTTGACGACTTCGTTCAAATCTCGTTTTAAAGATAACTTTTTCAATAAAAAGTTCGATAAGTTCACTTTAGAAATGAAATTAGTCAGCTGCTGATATCAGCTGAACTGCTAAAAAGCTCGTTTCAAGTTCGTTCTCGGGTCAGCTAATCAATCTCAGCTCGGTTCAGATCACTTTTTACTCAACTCGTTTCAATTTAGATCAGCTCGTTTGACTGAAATTACATCGATTACGATGAAAAAAGTTCGTTTTAGATCACACTGATCGATCTCAGCTCATCTGTGGAGGTCACTACCTGGTCAGATCAGGGTCAGAGATCGATCTCAGGTCCCAATGTTCACTTTTTTTACTCAACTTGTTTCGATCAAAAACAGCTCGTTTTAACTGAGGTCTGATCAATTACGATGAAAAGAGATCGTTTTCGTTGCTTATTAGCTCGTTATGAGATCGTTTGGCTAAATTTAACCAGTTAAAATTTTGACCAATCACAGCTCATATAACTGACCAATCACGTGCGTCCGTTAAAATTTTCTGACGTCACAGGTCGACGGCCAGACTTGCGCACCGTGTGCAAAAACTCCGTCTACGTCTGTCTCAGCTCAGTCAGGACCAATAAAATTTGCGCTTCTACGCTCTAACCAATCCAATAATTATTAACGATCTTCTACCTGATTACCGTTCCGTTTCCGCCAAAAGGATACAGATGATCGCGTTTCTTCTTCCACGATCCGATCCCGCGCAGCCGTATTCCGCACGGTTATGGCGCCTTCCTGTCCGACCTAGTCGGCCTTCTGCTGGGCTTGTCAGGCCAACCAGCGGGTCGCTGTACAGCCTATTTTGGTGGAGCGCGTTAAAACTGGACTCTTGGCACCTCCTTCGGTGCTGTCAACTTGTGGCTTTTCGGCGCTTGTGCCCGACAGCCTCGACCTCGACAGAGGATCCCGCTGCCTAGCAGAGGAAACAGCACAAACTCTCCGACAGGAGAAACTCGCACCGCAGCCCCCTGCCGTCTGACTCTTGAAAGCACAAGACAAGTTCTCCTACAGGAGATACTTGACTCAGTGCTGCCGCTGCTGCTGGCAATCCGATGAGATGCGCCTTGCTGACAGATGAGGAAACCAGTGCCTTACTGGTGCAGTCGATCAATATCGATCCAGATTTGATGTGGCCGTTCGCCAAACAGATAAACAATTCAACTCAGAAACCGTCGTTGCGGCTCTGCTACCATATCATGTGGTACTCTGAAAGAGTCCAGGACAGAGATCTCCACTGACAAGATCCTGCGTAGCGTACAATGCTATATGATATGGATAAATGCACACCGCACGGCAGCCACTAGCATAGGTACACTTCATTGAGTGTGCAAATCGACTGACTGAACAACTGACAAATCTCATCAGCGAAGAGCCAAATCCTGCTGCTGCGCATGCGCACTTGGGCGCCGCCTACTAGGCGAGAACAATGAGCGGCTTTAGCCTTCAGCCAATGAGAAGAGACACAACACAGACACGTCATCCGAGTAGCGTAGCGCCGCGAGGGTGAACGCGAGTGCAGCCATCGCTCACACCTGGAAACTCGGGAACTGTTGCATAAATAATACTTAAATCATAAAAAGAAATATTTAGGTTTATGCACAGCTTACAGGAACAAGGGCCGCAAAGCCATGGTCGGTGCAGCTGGCACAGTTTTGACTTTTTCGAAGGAATTGGTTTCCGCCTACGCTTTCGGTCGGCAGCCAGACGGCTACAATTGCGTCTATGCATGTGTACGTTCATTCATAAATTTTTGACTGACTGCGTAGTGCGTACTGCCCGTCTGCTCGTTTTGTGGCTTTTTCATGCCTTTGTTATTTGTAACACTGTAACAGAGGCTTTGTTTGCTAAATTTGTATTTTTTCCGATGAATTAATGGAAAAGTTCAAGAATTATGAAGGGTTCAAGAATTTAAGTTTGCATATGCGTTTATTCCTGCATATCTCCGGTTTGACTCAATGAGAGTGATCTTTGGTTGTCGTTCGTGAAAAATCCTCATCAAAAACTTACCACCAACATGAGAGCTTCGAAATAATTCACTTTGGTGTAGAAGTAGCTAACCAGGTCTTTGTTACTTTGTGTACTTGTAAAAGCTGTTGGAGTTGCGATATGTGTGAGTATCATTTGGCCTTTGGCTATCAATTTCGAGGTAAGAGAAGGGTGTTGTTTAGTCTGTTATTAAACATGCCTGGTTTATGCCAAGTTCGTGTTCCGGGAAGATGTTGCGTCTCCGGATTGCCGCACTGTTTTCCAAACAGTGTGTTTTAGTCGTTGAAGACTTGGGATAAGTGTGGGTCTAGACATCGCAATTATTTATCAGTGCCCTGGTTTAGACGATGCTTTGGATTGTGATAACTTGAAGGATATGCTTTTGTAACTTCGGCTGATGTGGCAAGCGGACGAGAAGCTGTGCTTTGGGACATCACGAGACAGAAAATGCACTTTCACGACGGGATGCGGAAAATCGGTTCGGCATTATTGTACGCTATCTGCTCTCTCCTGCTTATGACGATCAACAAGAGCGTCTTGACGTCGTATGGGTATGTGCACGCTGCAGCAAATTCCGATGAATGTTTTTTTTAGAAAAAACGCTTATAAATTGTTTGATTTGTGTGCGTTTGAGCAGATTTCCATCTTATGAACTGATTTGCGCAGGTAACTGTAGTCACTAATCACTGATAGTCTGAAAAAAAAAGGATAAATGAAATCATGCAACGTAATATCATCACTAATATGTACCAATTGATTCGTGAGACACGTGAGACTCTTTGACGTGAGACAGTTTGATTTACAATGTATATTGTCTAAACTGTTTTTGTTAACCAGATAGCATTTTTGTTTTGACGGTACGATTTGGGAATCTTGAGGATTTGTTATAAGCATCTTCATTTATTTTATGCCGAACAATGTGCCAGCTGCTGCCGTGCCAGATTTACTTCGTATGCAGTTGACCAAAATTACTGATTTCAGATGATTACCACGGTAGTGGTTTTAAGCACTACAAAAGGTTTTATTCAGCACTTTTTCCCAACCCGACCCCACATGGTTTTCGAAAGGTAACAGCTTACAGATCGTGAACAGGATGGAAAACCTTCGCAGCACTGTAAACATTGGCAGGCTGGGAAACAGAAACCAACCCGAAATATCAATATAACTACACATAGGACAATTACGCAGCCTCTAATACAAAATCGCAATACTAACCTGATCATTTTTGTGCCGCCAAGTCCAAAAAACAAATTACCGGCGAAAATTAACGACAGTGGAGCAACCTGAAAGGTTCAACGGTAACGATAAAGCTCCATGAAAGCTCCTCGAAGCAGTGCTGTTTGCGGACTACTGGTTTCTGCGGTGAGGATACTTTAGTTTTCGAATAGGTAGTTTCTCTTATCATTATGCTATTCGGTGTGGCGCACTGACACTGATTTTCCTCTTTCTAGCGTTATTCCATCGCGGTCAGTCCAGACCGCCGTGTGTGGTATGGTTCTGGGAAGTGTTGTGGCGGCTGTGTAAGTATTGTTAATACATACTGTATATGGAATTTAATACTAAAGCGACAGAGCTAGCCTATTTTCACATTAAAGACAGATAATCGTTTAGGCAGTTTTGCTGTTTGTTACTTAATATGCTGAATAAATTTTATGTAGGCATGACTTGTCGTTCACTTATACGGGATATTTCTTCGTCCTCATGAATGATGTTTTCACGGCTGCTAATGCCGTATGCATTAAGAAAATTCCCAATTCCAAGGTACAACGTTGCAGCTTATGCAACAAAAAAGAACGAAGAAAAATTGAGTACGTTTCTTTGCAGGAACTGGGGCAATATGGATTGATGTTATACAGTTCCGCGCTCATGTTGATCCCGTCGCTAGTGTATACTTGTGGGACAGGCCAGCTGACTAAGGTCAGTGCAGAAAAATTTGGTACTGTCAGAGCGGCATCCGCTCTCTATAGGATCGTTCGATAGAATATTTCGATAGATTTGTATGCTTTGCCGATAGCCTAGTGGTGCCTCTCTCGGCCTTAGAGTATGGAGGTTGTGGGTTCGATTCCCTCAATCGGCAGATTTTTTGCGAGTTGTCTGTGCGAGCCTAGCCCAGCCCTTTCAGTACAAAGCTTATGAGTAGCTCCGGATGGAATGCGTTCTGCTGTACCTTTATGGATTATGAGTAGCTCCGGATGGAATGCGTTCTGCTGTACCTTTATGGATTAAGAATTTTAAAGTCGTACCAAAAAAGCTTTCAGAATTTGATATTATTGTAGGGTGATATTGTAGCATTTTTAGGCAATGGAGTTTGCGAAATGGACAGATTTGGGATTTGTTGTGCGCTTTGGCTTATCCTGCATTATGGGATTCGTGATCAATTATACAGTCGTATTGTGTACCCATTATAATTCGGCTCTCACAACGACAGTAATTGGCGCTTTAAAGGTAAGTTTAAAAAGCGGTTTTTTTATAGCAAAAATCGAAATCTCTGTAGTTTTTTCGATTCCCGGTCTTGTTTGCAGCGATTGGCTTAAATGTTAGTTTAGTAGCATCCTGTACATAATCTTGTTTTTGTTATTTAGAACATTTTGACAGTATACTTTGGGATGTATGTTGGAGGAGATTACATTTTTGATGTCTGGAATTTTCTGGGATTGAATATCAGGTAAAATCTTCTCTGCGTTAGGTTTTTCTGTAGCCGTGTTCTTGAAACGTTTACTGAACCGCGCACAAACTGATTCCATTTGTAGTGTGGTTGCCCGTCTATTATATTCCTACGTGGTATTTTTCGAGTCTGAAAGGAAGCAGACAAAAACAGTCCGTGTGTTTACTGGAATATCGGCGGTATAAAGGAACGTGCTACAGCCTTTCCAGAATTCCTTACCATATGTGTCCTTACATTTTGCTGTGATATGGATATCTTCCATATTCTTTATAAGAAGTTTTTATAACAGTATTACTCTGTACAATATGCTCGTTTTGCGTTGTTTTATTGCAGTTTGGTTTGAGCTGTCTCTGCACATTGTTTGAATTTTAAGTTCAGAAATCTCACGTGTACCTAAATTCTTAAATCGTCAATGCTGCGAAAGAATCATTTTAAGCAAACTATTTGACGCAGTTCTTTACGTTGCCAAATTTCTGTTGAAAATTACGTATAAAAAAACAACAGGCAAATGCCGAAATGCGGCTCTTTTTCTCTGCGTCGTATGTTGTACTGGCAGTGATTAATCGAATGAGATTGTAGTATGAAGTTACACTTAAAATGATCGGATTAATTGCATCATTAATTTTTTTGCGGAAGAAATTTGGAAGCCGTTAATTATTCCATTTGTGCTTATAATGGATTTTGATAAGCAAACATTCAAAAAAACAGGTTGGATAAGTGCTCGCACCGTATATATTCAACAGCAATTTTAAGTGTTTGTGAATTAAAGGTGTTCTTCGGCTGTGCTTCGGTGTTGACAATCTCTTTGAGTAGTTTTCGTGTGTCTCGCCATGGTGCGGTATCATCAAGTTTGTACCCTAAAGGCACTACAGCTCGAACCGAATCTCGGAGTTGAAGATGCGACCTTTTTGCCCTTAGCTACTTATTTTGTGCGGTAGCATGCATGTTAAGCTTACAATTACCGCGTGTTAGGAAGCGGCACGGCGGGGCGTGAGATAAACCGGGAATATATTGCAAATAAATTGTGCGGAAAAAAATGGAGCCGACTCTTCCCTTTAACTTCGGACGAAGGCTTCTGTACATCCTGGTTTTTCAATTTTTAGGTACTTACACATGGTGCTTCCTTGTATTTGTGGTATTTTATTTTATTTTTTTATAGTTCATAGCAAATCGGATAATGTGGGTCAGGATAGCTATCCCAAGACGGACATCAAGTTGGACAATAAGGTTTACGTGATGACAGAAGATAACTTCCACCATCTGATACAAGGACACGAAACCGGTTTGGTTCTGTTCCATGTGCCATGGTAAGAAAAAAACCAGGCGTCCACCACATAACTCTAATTGCTAGTCTTTCCATTATGTCGTCATATATGGCACTTTCTATTTATGATAATAGTGTTTTAATCTTTTCGTGGTTAAAAAATGGCGTGCGAAAATTTAGCGGGCCGGAATTTGCATGTTTACTAGAAATCTGACAAAAAGTGTTAACAATTTAGGAACGCGCAATACCGAAGTATGCTGCCGGAATACGAAAAGGTTACGAAAAAAGTTAACGATGAACTTCCGTCAGTGTTGATGGGAAAATTGGATGTGTCGCTTCATCCAGAAATTGCCGAACAGTTAGATATCCGTGGCGATGAGCCGCAGTTCTTGTTCTTCAATCAAGGAAAGCCGTACAATTATGAGGACTTTAAAAGCTATTCAGCTTTGTTGGAGAGTCTTCGGTTGCACGCTGGCCACATTTAGTTTCCGCCACGACCGCATCCGGAACTTGTGCCTGAGCTGACGCAGCACGAATTCCAGCAGACGATAAAAGGTCTGGATTTTGCTGATGTGGCTTTCTACAGAACGGAAGACTTGCGTCCGGTGTCGGAAGTGGATCTGGAGAGAGATTTCGATATGTTATTATGGCGGGCACCAGGTATTCGACTTTACTGCCTTAGCTTTCTTGAATCACAGGTTTGTTAATAGTAATACACAATATGCCCTACTAAGCAATGCAAGCAACAGCTCAGTTCCTATCAAAGGTAACTGAATTCCACAATTCGATAGAAGACGTTTACAGTTTTGCAATCGTATTGCAACAAGTCATTCTCCGAAGCCCGCCATACCGCAATAATAACATTCCAAAAACAGGAGGCGAAGACTTTTCTTCGCGTGATATTATTATGGAGCTAAGTGTGATTTTTATAATTCTGATGAAAGAAGTTGTACCGCTATTTCTTGCAAAAGTTTGTTTGTGCGCATACAACTGTTCAACATTTCACAATACACTACTGCACATGCAAAACGCTGTTCATAAGCGATTTCGTTTAACCACAACTAATGTTATTGTGTGACTGAAATTCAAAATGGAAAAACTGGACAGGTGAAACGAGGTTCGAACCCACCACTGCGGCCACGCGTACTAAATTCCTCATGCCCAACTGCTCTACTGGACATTCTCGAATGATGCTGGGACGAGATGCCATCTGTTCAGCCAACATTTCAACGCCTTCGTGAAAATTTTGCACAACTATTCGCCCATTCCGGTGACAGCATTGTTGAGCACTTGATTGTAAACGGAAGTGAAGTTGACCTTTACTCGAAACTTGCACTTAGCCTTAACCTAAAACTTTCCAGCGCGGATATAATGAATCCTTGTTGTAGCATATGTATGATGGAAAAAGAGGCAGCCAGTTTAGAACAAGAAGCGGAAGAGAAAATGCATCTGATGCTGGAAGAAAAGCGACGCTCAGATGAGATTCTCAGCCAAATTTTACCAAAGTAAATAAGTATTACGACTAGATGCAACGTCAATTATTTTGCTTAATTTAACTAACGTAAGCCGTCCCAAAAGTGCACGATCTTTCGAATACCTAGCGGTTCTTCCAGATGAACAAACCACATTCGTAAGAAATTACAGTACCGGAAAAAGGTTTCTGTGTGATCTGCATTACTATATAGTTACGCCGAATGCTGCACCTGTCAAATCTGAAACCATCAACCAATTTAATCTGTGCACCGGTTTTCAACAGTATATGACGTTTGCAGAACTATTGCCCAAGCCCTCACTCAAGGAAAACAAATCCTTCCAGAAACATTTGCCAGCACACGGTACATTTTAGTATTTTAGGTAAGCTTTCTGCTGCACTAACACATTTATAACTGTTCGTGCACGAATTTATATTTCTTTCCGGTACAGCGATATCGAAGGATTTCCTGAATTAACCTTACAAGCCGAAACACCAGCGGATACTGTGTATATCTTGAACACTCTTTATGCTACCTGCGATGCAGTTATTGAGAAGTCTGACGTTTACAAAGTGGAAACTGTCAAACTAACAGCAGCGTACTTGAACTTCTATATTGTTGCGTAATTATTGTTTTAATTTCAGGATGAATATGCCTATTTGGTAAAGTTGAATGCCGGCTAAAAGTAAAGTGAGAAGTGAAATCATCATGAAAATTGTGTTTATCTAAGGTCGTAAGCGGGCTACCAGTTCGCAATGGGATCAAGCATGCCGGTGAAATCGCTACCCATGGCTCTCTATCTGAAGCGAGATATCGGCCTTCTCACATTTCGAAACAGCACAGCTTCTACACCCAAACTTCGCCCACGCGTTGGACTACACTCTGGTACCAAGTACTACGACATTGTAGTTAAAAACGCGCACAACAATAGCAATTAAACCGAAAGATTTTTACAGGGTCGTGTGTGGCTGCCATCATCGGAGCCAAAATGCCAAGATACTGCCTGTAAGAAACTATTTTTAAAGGCCGAGAACCCCAGATATCAAAATTTGTGGACTACAGTTTTGGCTTCGTAAGTTCGGTGATACGGTTAGCACTTCCAACAGAATGGAATCACATGGAGAACGTAAGTTAAACAATCAAAAATATCAAATGCGACACTGCTCAACCAAAAAGCATTTCCAGCTGGAAAAATTCAGTGCAGCGAAGACACTAAAGAACTCTTGAACAAGATCGGAGGTTTCGTTGTACTGCCGCGCGGAGAAATAAATGTCAAGGTACGTTTTTATTTTCCAGCAATAGTACGGGTGTGCGCAGTAAAATAAAACTAAGCAGAAACGACATGATGGTTTGCTGCTTGCAGGGCAAAGGACCCATGAATACGTATTGGGTAATCGCAAAGGACTGACGAAACCGCTTAAAGCGGTAGTGCAAGAGTTGTTGACTAACATAAGAAAACATCGTTCAGGAAGGAAATCAGAACTTCTGCGCCTTTTACGTTACACGGCTACGGGTTAACTAGACCTTGTAATTTTTTACCGGATTAATATTTGCCGTCTATATTTGTCAGCTGCGTGTACCGCCGGCACGGTCCCGTTTATAATCGGTGTATCCACAAGCTCCATGATGCAGGTATTCGCATCGGAGCATGGAGCTGTTTCCATTTCGAAAATTTCCAAAACATTCGGCTTCTTTTCTTGAAGAAAGACGCCGGGAACATAAAGCGTAACCTAATCGATCCACAAATATTTTATGCGCCATTGTTTTTTTTCTTTTCAGTATCTTTCTGCCGATGCATAGTTAAGGAAGTAAAGTATCAACCTAAATTTTTTCAAAGCTAAGTGGCAATGTAAAATAAATAACACAACTTTGCAACAACAATACTGTGCACTGTGCACCCAAAACAGCAGCACTGTGCATCCAAAACATGATACCGTAGTAAGCGGACGTTTTCACATGCCATCAGCAGAAACTTTCGAAAACAGTTTTTTACCTGCGGTCCTTGTCCGGGCCAGTATCGTCCTAAGTTGCGCCCGTTAATGAAAGCATAACCCTACAAAAATACTGCGTAACAAAATCCTCATATGCTGCAAATTCTGTTTTGGAAAGCTTTACCGTTGTCCATCCGTCCATTTTAAGAAATGTGTCCAATGCTTTGTCAATCATAACTCCGTAGAATAAAAAGCCGCACCAGTTTCGTATGCATTTTCACTGCGAATTTCCAGGATTCGAGATGGACGAAAATTCGCTGCGGGAAAATGAGGAAGATGCAGTGGAAACATTGCCCACTTAGTGAGGTTCAGCCCATCAACAGTCACATTGCTCAGAATTCCTTTAGGATTATTTGTCGGATAAAAGCGTCCTCTTCCGCCATTCTGCACCAAAATATCCAAAGTCTGGCCTGGTTCGAGAGAAATACTAATCGACGACAGTTCTATTCCGTGATCCAGCATGCCCACCGGTTCCTAGATTTCAACAAATAACACGAGAGTGCCAAGTTGTTGATAATCAATTAACGGAAGATGTAATAATTAAAGGAGACATTGCGATCCAGCAGTGTCTTGATGTTTTCTATGAATTCACTGGTGGGTACGGTAGCAAACGGTGATCCCCATACATCGAGCCATCCAACATAAAACTCGGAACCCACCAATGGTCCATCCGAATTCCACTTTTCCAGATTATTGACGTAATATGTAACGTTACTTCCCGAAATAGTCGGTGTCCCGAAATCGCCCGTGATCAAAGCGCCGTCACAACGTCCACATTTCAAATAACCATCTTCTGCATCATTATTAGTGAAAAGTACGATATTGTTGCCCAGTACTTTTCGAAACATATCGCGCAGTGTGTTCATGTACTTGATATCACATCCATATGCTCCATATTCATTTTCAACCTTAAAAAGAGAACAAGAATATCAGGATGCCTAATAACAAGGGCACGACAAAGATGACGATGGTGGCAAAAAATAATTTTCATTACAGTTAAAACATTTTTTCCTCATTTCTCAGTACCTGCCAAACTACTAGAGTCTAGCAGTTTATAAATTTTCACAGTTCTCGCTCAGAGCAAGCGTGCTTCACAACCAAAACAATTCAGAATCGAAAACAAATTTATATATTCACGGAGGCGACTCGATGCACCCGTTTACTGATACAGGGTGGTCCAGCCAAGTGTGGGCAGTTGCATAAAACAAATTTAAATTTATTCCTGTAACTAGTTTTAATATTCACTCTGAACTTCACCAGTGTAACTTTTTACTGCGGATTCAGCGAAAATGAAGCCGGGATCTTTTAACGTGTCGGTAAGGAACGGGGTGGAGCTTAATAGGTGAAGATAGCGGGAATTTTTAGAAGGCCTTCTAAAAAATTCAGGAAGTGATATTTTTGTATGGACATTTTTGAAAATTTTTGAGTGTCCCAAAAGGTGTTCTCTGTGCGTAAGCAAAAGAATCTTGTTCTATCCAAGCTCGTGGTAAATTCGAAAAAAGATCTATCGCCCATAGACTTGTATGTTAAAGAGGACCATCCGAAGAAAGTGGTTGCCTAGAGCACTGATCGCTTTGGTCATGATACCTACACTTAAAAGGAAGCTAGGAAGGCACTATCAAAAAACTACGTTATCGCTTGTCAGTTATCAGACGACTGAAATTTTCTAAATATTATTGATGAAACACGCTTATTTCGTGGTATGCAGCGCGTCTTTTTCGGGAAAATCAAAAGTAATACTTTGATTCCCGTTGGCTGCTCCTCAGCTTTTTGCAATAAAGCTCTATTAAGTAAGTTGCTATATACCAAGAGTTATCATGCAAAAATAACATAAAAATTTTAAGAGCTCAATGGTAGCGATTGAGGAATTTTTGTCACTGCCCACACTTGGCTGGACCACTCTGTACTATAGTAGGTACTGTATATAATATTATAGCACTGACCTGAACGGTTATGATGGGACCTCCATAAGCATAAAGATACGGCTTTATCAGCGGTAGAACGACATCGTACCATTGTTGAACAAAATAAAGATATGTGGGATCCGTGCTTCGTAAGATCATGTTGGGATTCTTCCGCAACAGCCAATAAGGTAGACCACCCTGTAAAATGTACACCAGAATGTTGTACGACAGTCATTAGGCTGTGGTCAACATAACTTCGCAAACCGTATCAACTTCGGAACTTCCGCAGCAATAAACAGCCCGGCTCGCAGAATGACCAGTAAATCGTGCTTTTGAGCCAGTTCGAAACAACGCGAGAAATTCAGCATTCCGTCGAAGCGGAATTCACCCGGTTCTTGCTCGTGCAGACTCCAAATAACATACCTAAAAAACGTCAAGAATGAAAGACAAGCGTAAGGTGCAGTTCTGCAATTCATACGAGAGACATCCGAAATGAATTTGCGAATATAACAAAAATTAATTGTTCGTGCAGATAGCAGCCGTAACGAATGCAGGAAGTGAAATCGAAAACCACAAAAACCGCATTCGTATACAGTAAAAGCAAACAGACAAAAGCATTGCGATGCCGAGTTTTTAAAATCTACTTAGCTTACGACTTACGTGTCAACGGCCAACAGTCCAGTAGCCCGCATTTTGTAGAAGCCATCCTCCCAGTACTCAGACGGGACTCTCCAGTAGTGCATTGTCCCGGAAGCATACCGAAAAGGTTGGCCATCCTTTAGGAAGCACTTATGACCAACGGTGAAAGACCGATTAATCACGAGACCAATCTGTTTAATAACAAATGTTTCAAAATCACCGAACGAAACTGTCACCTTTTCAAAACAATTATCAGACCTGAAAAAGAACAATCGCCAGCAACAGCCAAAATATACGCCGATCCAGAACCGGAAATGCTAGCATTTTCCCCATCCAGAATAGTCAAAAAAATAGTTTTGTCAAGCTCCGCTACTCTTAATCCTTTTTCATCCAAGATCTTCACATTAAAAACAGGCTCTGTTTTATAACTGGCATCGGCTTCTGCCCGAATACGCTGCACTTCTTCAGCTGGCAAATGAAACTCCGCAAAGACTTTGCCTTTCCCGGGATTCAGATAACGAATGGTACTAACTTTGTCCCATACAACATAATCTCGGCCCAGTCTGTTAATTAACATCAGCATGTAGAAGGGATCAGTCATCGAGTACAATTCGAGCCACCAAACTGCGTGCCAGCATACTTTGTACCTTTAGTTCGCATTCCATGATTTCCATCTATGCAGATCCATCTCAACTCTCAAATAACTCATGTCCTCCGCGCATTTTGTTACCTTTATCCCGGCGCCCAGATACGGTGGATAGAATCGGAGAAAACGGGTAAAAAGAGCATGCAGTGGAATTTTTGCCATTAAAGGAGGCATGGCTAAGCAGACCGGAATAGCAATGTAGAAGGTCGCAAAAAAGTCACATGGGAAACGAAATGAGGAACAAAATATTAAATAAAAAACGAAATATATACTAAATACACTGAATTAAAAAACGAGACTGCAATGGGCAGCAAATTATCTTCAAATACAGATTTGATGTTAGTCGAGTTCGAATGTTGAAACCAAAAAGAGGGAAAAATAAATCAAAAATATTAGGCGCAGCGAGACGATGAGATTTGGAGATGTAAACCTTCCGGGGTTGTGCTTATGTTTAAAACCACCGCCCCTGATGATTGATCTATATCATCCTTGTTACACTTAACCGCATCTCCATGTGTGCCGACCAAAAGCACCACCGGCATCTTCGTCGGTTTTCCACAGTATCCATTATCAAATGGGTTCCTCTATGTTATAGGACAAGGATAGCAGACGCAGCCAGAAAGACACCTGCAGGCGCTGCACCGACGCCGGGTCGGCCAGATTAAAAACCACCACGTAGAGACAGCCTGTGTAGTGCAGAAGATGACAGTAGAACTGCAGACATAAGGGATCGGCGGACATCTCAAAAATGGCAACATCCAGACTGGCATCCAGTGCGACGGTGCTGACCGAAAAAAGCGGATAACCGTGCCGCATCTGGTTGATGTTCGATACCGAGTGGCTTTTTGTGGGGGTACGGCGACCGGACTTTCGGCGGAAAAATTCACTACCCCGACGGACACAGTTAGCAACTGGAGAATTCTGTAGGGCTTTGATCAAAGTAGTTTTGCCCACTCGAAAAAGGCCCAGAACACGGACGCAGAAACGGTTCAGATAGCCACTGCGATGACGGATCTCATGTTGCAGTTTTGTGCGAACCGCGCTGTTCGACAAGTTGCGCAAAAATTCACCGATCTGAAAAAGACAGAAAGAGGAATATTACACAATGTTTTGTAGTGGCAATTAACTGAGTTAAGGGAGATCGAACACTTTATTCAAATTTTCTCGATTCATTTTCCATCAAAGGTTGCTTTGGGAAAATTACTTATAAATCGATTAAAAAGTAAACAGAAGGAGAAATTAAGTGATTGTGCTGAACAGATTACCTAACCGAAAAATTGCAGTACAAAAATCGGCGGTGGTCGTTTAACAACAGCAAGCTATCGGTAACAGCTTAATGCTAACAATAAGACCATCGCGATCGGAAACAATTAGCTTACTTCGTGGGAGAAGTAATTCTACCACTTCCGGCTGAATACAACGCACAGCAGTGACCAGCGGGATCCAACCCATCTGGTCTACGATGTTGCAGTCTGCGTTGACGGCCAACAAAGCTTCGACCGGCGCCGTTGTACCTTTAGATGCGCAGATGTGCAGTGCAGTTTCTTTTTGTGCATTCTGAAGATTCGGGTTGATTTTTTCGCTTTTCAGGAGCGCCGATAGGCATTCAGTAGACCCATTTGCAATACATCCTTCGCCATCATTATTTAACAAGTTAACTGCATCACACGTGAGTACAGCTAAGAAATCAGGAAATACACAGGTATGACCGTAGCGAACGGACTGCAGAAGAGCATTTTCTTGGTTATTATTCAGGAGACCGGGATCAACACCGGAATCCATCAAGTATCGCACCATTTCCTTCCGCCCGTTTCGGGCGGCCCAGTGTAAAGGCGTGTCACCACAATAGTCAGAATGATCCAATGGCAGCCTAAACGCAAAACAAATTCAATTACTGTAAATGCTGATGGTCGGTAAATTTTAACGCTCAATAGATTCCCAAAATATAAAATATAAAATGCGTTTATATAAAATATAAAGCATTATAAGTAAAAGGTAAAATGCATTTTAGCTAATAACGGAAACGCGAATGCAACAGCAGTCTTCAATTCTGCAACAGAAAAAAGGGAAAAACAGATATTAGAAAGTTTGTCAACAACTGTTATCAAAATGTAAATATCGCGCAATTTAAAAAATCAAAGATAATCACTGATAATGCTGGACGGAATGAATAAAATTTTCAACGGCCGTTCTCTATGGCCGACACGATCAAATACGTTGACATCTAATCGTGGTCCCCTTGTTTGTTTAGCATTGCTGAAACAGATACTAGTCAACAAAACAATCACTATTTTCCGCTGACGCATGGAACGGTTCAGCGGGTCAATAATTGCTTGATGTGCAGATGGCGTGTCAAGTGCAAGCAATTTAACAGAGATCCAGTACACTAAGACAATAAATAATTCCTCTTCATTCAGTGGTAATGCTGTGGCAAGGTTTATCGGTGAAATCACAAGAGCAAATATGTTGAATGGAAATCAAAACCCACATTCCGCCGCAATACTAATAACAACGGGATAGCACACCTTCAACAAACACACCTTCGTTCGGAAAATTTGGAGAGTTCTAGTGATTTTATTAAATAGCCCATAAAAATTTTGAATTTTAGAATCTACTGGTGCATTCGGTGCCCACACAACTGAAATCATTGGCACGAACTACACCAAGGGAAGCACCAAACAAACAAATCTGGAAAAAGCAGCTGTCTGCTGGCTGTACCTGTAATTAATGTGCAGAAACTGCAAGATTTGCAGTTTTCCTGCTCCTGCGGCAACGTGAGCGGCGGTAATTCCCGTTTCCGAGACAGCTGTAAGATCGACAGCAGCCATGTTCAGTAACCTTTCAAGTCCTTGCCTGTTTCCGTCTTCAATGGCGCAAAAAATCGCCCTAACAACAAAATTTTCCGGCATGTCTAGCGTTTCATTGGACGACGCGTCCGTAGATAATAAAGAAGCCGTCGAGGCCGGCCGGTTGCCTTTGGATAACCGGTTACATAGCTTAATCACACGTAGCGACTTCTGCCATCGGCGTTTAGCCGCGAAGGCCTTCAGTCTCGTCATGTTAATCGCGGAAGCCTTTCGTTTCACGATCTGCTGGGAATTTCGAGGTCGAATCCAAGGGTGTTCCAACGCCTGACGCGCTGACATTCGCTTCCGAGATTCCCTGACCAGTAACCGTCTAAAAATGCAATCAAACGAAAATTAATAAACATACGCAAATAAAACATCAAAAATAAAAACTTCAATTAAATCATGTTATAGAGCAATGTATAACAATAAAATTAAATTTGTCCCAGTTACCTAATTTAAAATCACTAATTTTCTCCCAATAATTTTATGCGCAGAAAATACAGATATAGCAATCAAAACCTCAAATAGAGTGCCCCAGCAGGCAGAACAAATTATTTGACTAATCATAATAAGCTTTAATAAATCTACTTACGAAACGGAAACAGTCAAATGTTGTTCGTTTTCTAATTTAATAATTTAAATGTTTTATTACTGAATAAAATCTTTGGCGAGATCGCTTGTGGTAGCAAAGACATCTTCATCAAAATCAAACTCCGCTCTCGTGATATTGGCAAAGGTTTCCTGTTGATCTTGGCCAGCAAATGGTGAGCTTCCGCTCAGGAGCATGTAAGTTATGACACCCACACTCCACATGTCGCTCTCCAACGACAGAGCTTCGTAATTCATGATCTCCGGCGCGACAAACTCAGCGGTTCCCTTCCTTCCCGCCTGGTTCTAACCGTCTGGCCAGACCAAAATCAATGATCTTAATGACCTGCGACTCAGGAGATTGGAGCAGAATGTTTTCCGGTTTGAGATCAAGGTGGGCAATATTATGCTGGTGGAGATGGTCCAAACCCGTGAGAATCTGTTGTACAAATTTCGACGCATCCTCTTCGCTAAGGTGGTCACGCTCAGATAAATAGTGGAACAGCTCACAACCGGTGACCCAATTCAAAATAGTACTGTAAATAGGATGAGTCAGTACTTCACCTCCGAAATTTTTAAATGTTTCTTTGATAACTGCTTCGATTTTTACTGTTTTCGAAAGAACGAATGTAAAGCACGTAATAAACAAAATTTATAATGAAAACAAGTGGAAACTAATGTCATATCATATTACGCTTTAGTACTTAAATCTGATTAATTTTGCTTCACCAACTCTAAGCAAGCTGGCTATGGTAAAGCTGGTGCACAGTGCACACTGCTTATTGAACAAGAATGATTGAAATAATATTTCAAACGCTATTGTCAATCAAAGTTAATTTTGGGTGTATCTACTAACACTGAAGATCGTTCGCATTTTGCAATACAATGTTAACTGGTTAACTTATTTTCGTCTTTAGTTAACGTTTAACTGGTTGTATGTCGACAGCGCTCCATACTTACAGTTCAAGGACTAGAATGACTGATGGCATGATTATCATCTTCATATACTTCGTGTAGGCCAATTACATATTCGTGCCTTAGACTGAATACGATGGAGATTTCATTTTCAATATCTTCAATGGCCGCTTCGTGCCGACTAAATTTCTGTCGACGTTTACGTATGAACTTTGCCGCATAGGCGTTGCCCGTCAATTTTTCCACACACTGACGGACAATGGCAAAGTGTCCACTGCAACAAAACGGTAACAAATGAACGATTATCGATAGTCAAATGTCCATTACGTGCATACAATACTGGTATAATTCCGAACTTAAACCAATATTAAAGAGCCGATCAAGTCAGTCTAAATGTCAGTCAAGCGTTGCACCAAGCACTAGGAACCACACTGATCTTAAGCTCTGACCTTTCTTGCATAATTCAGTGGAACAATATTTGGTGAACTAGTATTTGCATGCGCGTGGTTCTTGGCTAACAAAATAATTACTCGCATGCGATTATGGCTGATCTCAGCTAAATCTCACAACCATCGTTCAAAAATTAAAGCAATGGCACTCTTCCGCTACTACAAAAAGTGCCATAAAAATTCTGTTTTGGCTGGACATTATTTTGCTGAAGATCAACACACCAATAATAGTAATATCCTACAACAATAACTCATAAATCATCACACAGCCAGTTTCACACTAATTTTGTCTGAGAATTGAGAAAGATTTTTTTATCGCATGTTCACCTCCCCGCTTAATTATTGCAAAATATTTTTCTCGATGCATTAACCATCAGTGTCCGTTTAATTACGAAGTACAAATAATCGTAACATAACTGAATGCCGTTCCACCAGACGCATCACCATTATGCACATATTACAAGCAGCGAAAAACATTTTCATATGCAGGGCTGCACCGCTCTTGTCCAAAAATCGATAATTTTTTTAAGCAAAAAATTTTTAGGCTACAGTTGTGTTGTTATTTAGCTCATCAACCATGCTGAAAACACCTACAATGCACGCTTGTTCTCCTCCTCATGGGCGAGCGGAAGCACACTACAATACGTTGTACTGTCTGTCCGTAAACATGCACAAATAACCAGAACATACCAGCAAAAAGTGCGCTCTTCATAAAATCCGTAAAATACGAGCACAGTATATCGCTGGTTTCACGGAGTTGATTTTACTATTACGTTTTCTGTTAGTTATCCAATGAAAACTGCTCAGGCGAGCTGGAGTCAGGGCTAGCAAATTACAGTTTTCTTCCGGAAACCCACTCACCGGTAGGTAACCAGCAAACAACCAAGCCTTCGGATACAATTCTAATAAAATTAGTACCAAAATTAATATCAATATCAGTATCAAAATTAATATCAGTTTACCAGTACTACCACATGCATTTTGAGCTTTCAATGGTAATTTCCGTAAGTTCTGATGGTTTCAAAATACCAAGCATGAAGATAATTGCGAGTTCCTTTCAAACAGCTACGGCAGCTCACCAACGAAGGATTAAGAATGTGGATAACGAGTGAAAACAAAACTGCGAAATGTGGTGATTTACGCTGTTTGTTCTATGGCTGTAAACATTGTCAGTAAACAAAAAGCGCTAATTCACACCCTTCCAACAGCTGTTGCGAGTTAGGCAACAGCAGCAGAACTACGAAAACTTACTGCGATCAAAGCCTATCATTATTCCGGAAAACAGAACTAATGCCCCTGATTTTAACACTAAGTAATCTGCTTCACTTAAGGTCACGAACATGTTCTGAACAATCTTCATCTATTTTTCAAGGCTCCTTCCTACATAGAGCGGTGGACGATCTTTGAATATGTGAGAACAAATTAAGATATTATATTTATCAAATTTTAATTACGGTTCCTGTACAGATACGCAAAATATAATTTCAAATTACTTTAGCAGGCAACTACCAACTTAGACATCCATGTATGCAACTAATGGTGAAAGGTAAAAAGTCTTCATGCTACTATTGTATATTATGATTGCCAGAGTTCAGTCATCGGTGCAAAAACCGGCCTCGATCGTTACTGCCGGCTGCATGCATGGAATCCATTGTATGCATATAAGATCAATTTTTGTTCGATTTACATCGCTACCCACGAATGAAAAGCATTTCATAGATTTTTGTCAGGAAGTTTTTCGCCTTTAGTTGACAAGAAACGTAGGATCTGCTCAACTGAAACTGTTTTCACTTTCACGCGCTCGAACACACATTCAAAGCAAGCAACCGGCGAAGTGAAGACAAAATTAATTCCTCCAAAAAAAAGAATGGAATCAGCTAATGTATTTGTTAACCATAAGTACCGAGTTTCTGAAACATACAAAATGATACAATGGTTCCTTTCTAAAATTCAGAATGCAGTGTCTAATTTTCCCATATTGCATTCCATAAATATATTAATACGAACATACACCTAATAAAATGTTGACTTATCTTCGTAATTCAGCATCACTGATCTTCTTACCATCTCGTTTGACTGCTGCGAAGGTACACAAACAAAAATATATTTATAGATATAGATATTATACAAGTACTGTACGTGCTCGATATTATTGAAATTAACCTAACCGGCACGTAAATGCGACAAGCCAAACAACTCAAAACAAAGTAAATGCAAACTACAGAAATCAGATAGACGCAAACGCCATATGAATTCCAAATAAATTTATTCTTCAAAGAAAGCATAATTATATTGTAACAAAATGGGAGATACTTTCCAGTATGTTAACTGCTTCAACAAAAATTAATATAAGGTAATTATAATTATTCGGAATCGCTACTGTCGTATTCAATATTGTATTCAGTGTCCTATGCTCAATAATTATGTCAGTACGTAACTACGTACTGTATTATAATTCTTGACATAAATGCGAATTACGAAAGCATTCTGCTCTTACAACTTGATGTTGAAAATCCTAATAATATCAACATTATTGTCATTTATAACGTATTAACTGCAAGTCAAGCAGCGAAAAAACAACAAGTGACAGAGTACGTACCAAACGCTTTATTCTCAGCCGTCTAAAGTCATACCTGCCCAATTCCCGGATAATTTCATAACGTTCCTCAAACGGAGCTTTTTGATATTCGACATTCCGCACCATGTTTGATTTCCCATTTACATACTGGCTATCCGCATGCCGAGAAGGACAATAATTTCTTTAAGCAGCCACAAAATGAAGGTAACCCCAGAATCCACAATCCAGAAGCGAAAAAAATATTTCGAGCTCCCACTGCTGTCAGCAAAATCCAACGCTCTTGATTTACCATCCAACACAAAGGCAATAAAAATACCAAAATAACATCGCAAAAGAGAATTCTAATTTTCAGCGCAGATATGTAGGATGAGCAATACTAGGTTGGCCAGGAGAAAAATGTTAAAACTTTAAGTTAAAACCAAAACAAAGTGCGAGATAGGAAGCACAACACATAGAACTGCCAGTTGTAAACGCAGTCTGGCAAATGTGACGACACGTACGAGCAAAAACGCAATTCAAACCCATCGGCGAATCGAAAGCGATTTACCAGCCCTCTCTTTCTCTGACGTTTTTCGGTACGGTAATGTTAAACGAGAAATTGCAGCCCGTAGGCGGACGCAATTATTAGCACCGTACTTAGAGTGCTGTGCTGACCATGAGAGATTTGAAAAATCTTGTTCAGCAATCAAAATTAATTCGTACTGTTAGTGTTTTAAACTAGAACCAATGCAGACAATAAAAAATCTGAAATTGGAACAACTCCCGATATTAGGATAGTTGTGACCAAATGTCTCTGTGAGTGTGATTAATTAGACCTATTTCGATGTTTGGTAACGCTGCGTGCTGGATAAATGGTTTTAATTTTGAGACATAATTGAAATTGCGAGCTGCAGCCCTTCACATTTATATTTCTCCAATAAAAATGGATGTACTCGTATGTATAATATCAGTTCAGAAAATTCCGTGTAAATGTTGATTCGTTGTGCAACATCCCGATGAACCGGTTTCAATGTTAACGAACTCGACCGCAGTGATTTACCTGATCGTTTGACACGATCCGGTTTGCGTCTTATAGTCGTGAACCGTTTGTTCATCACCTTTACGTACATCTCTTAGGATAATTCAATACCACGCAACTTATTAAAATCACCACTGTTATCACCATCTTTAACAATTGTAAAAGTGCAGCAGGTTATAACCGGCACCAATCAAAAGGCGTCCAAACCGGTGCAACCGGTATGTTTGATTTCCGCATTGCGAATACAAGCTCGTCCCGCTGTAAATGGACACAGTTTATTAATATCGCTTAAAATTTGTGTTGTTTTCATGCATAACATGGAAACAGAATATTTTTTGCTTATGTTCGAGCCGTTACCTAGCGCTACCAATATATTTTGTTTCTGCGATGTAATGGCATGCAGGAATTTTTTGGTGCATACCAAAAACCAGCTTCGCGTAATTATACAAGCGATGGCAAACGGTAGCTAAAAGTCAAAAGGCAGCTGTCCGCGCAGATACACCTTAATTAAAAAATTAAAGTATGTACAATAACACGAACAACTTTGAGCGAAATAAAGTTATATGTAGAAATGTAATAACAGGAAATGTAATACATATGTGGAAATATTAAAAAAGCAGTACAGTTATATGAAGATGATAGCGCTATAAATTAAAAAGTTCGAAGAGTGACTACGACGATTTCTTTAATCCTTGTAGCGAAATTGTGCTGGTTCAATACTGCAATACTGCTGCAAGCGCTCGACAGTCAGCGGGGCATCTGCAAAAAAACACGTACAAATAAGGATGAACCTTCTATGAAATCTACAGTAATACATACTTTACATATGAATTAACACACTGACGTCACAATTTTGACAACTGTATATTAATTATCCTTTTGCGCATTAGGGAAACGTTTCACTACATACTAATACTGTGATACAGCATAAAACCTTAAGAAAGTACTTACAATATAATGCTTTGGCTAAAAATTATTACAATTTAATTGTGGAACCTTACCAAGACGAATCCAGGTGTCACCTTTTCCGATCTCTTCACAGTGGGCCTTGATGGCATTACGCAGAGCAAAGACCACACTAGACGACATGCACAATGGTGCTTCTCCAGTAGCTATTCGATAAAATGTCCGTCAGTGTCAAATAAGGCTTCAGTATTATTAAAATATTTTGTAATGCGAATTACTCTTGCTGCGTAAAACTCCCAGTGGATTGGGAGCGTTCGGTAAGAGGGTCACGCGGAAATCCACGGGAATATCCTTGGCACCAGGTGGCTTATACTTCCATGTACCGAACGTCAAGTTTTGTCCGGTTTTCATATCGTAGATGACTTCTTCCGTAGTAAAATAACCGAGGCCCATAATTGTACCTCCTTCCACTTGTCCCACGTCTATGGAAAAGTGAAGCGTTCTGAGATTGAAATTTTTTTTTCAGGATGTCTTTTTTTAACGTTGTATGTTTTCGCTAAGGTGGAGACTAAATCTTTCTGACCAAATTTCCAATTAATTAGCTTCACAGTTCGTTGCAGTGTGCAATTGCAAAGGCTAATTCTGCTTTGACATCAAATTTAATGTAAATAATTAGAAGGAAGCATGCGCCATACAATGACAAAAATTTCATACCGACGTAGGGAGACATGCTTTCTCCACAGTCATAGACAAGATCCAGCCGGTCGATTTGATGCTCTCCAGTTAGGATATCCAAAGTCACTTCCGTGCACATCGCTCCATATACGCTATACTGTGGTTTGTCCGACTTTGCTTGGACACTACCCGTAAAAAAATTAAATAATTTACGTATACCGGTAATGCGGTAATTAGTATTATCAGCACAAAAAGTCACCCAATCTTTGCATGTCGGTAAAGACCACACACAGTCTCTCTAATTCAAAAGATGTATTAATTATAACGAGTGTTTTGTAGATCAGTGTGTTGTATAAGACAACAACTTGACACATTTAGTAAAATTAATGAGGGAACGTACAACTGATGGGCGGTGAGGGCAATGCCTTGTTTGAAGCACTTCTCCACAAGATCTTCCCATGAATCGTTGGGATTTTTATCTTTCACTGGTTTCATGTTGGCTTTCAGTAAGTTGCAAGTCTCAACAGCACTCTGAAATAATGTATTAACTATGATCATAGTAGAGGAGGATCAGAGATAATATAATATATTTGCAAATTAAATAATAAAAGCGTTTTTTTTTTTTCATAGTCAAAAACACTGGAAGCTTTGAGTTCAGTATGACTGCCTAGTGCCTACGGGCTACGAAACATTAAAATATTGTGCCGAAGATTGGTTGATTTCGACATACCAAACACAGAAGCTCGCTGCTAATCCCACCGGCGGTGATCCTGTTATTTGCGCTGGTAATGGACATAGTCGGCTGAATTACAATATATTTCATATCAATTCCCAGTTCATACGCAATAACTTGGGCAACCTGAAGAGCCAATGAAAACTGATATATATGGAACACGATTAGATTATCATGTCCATCAACAGTATCCGCTTTTACCTTTGTGTTGATCCCTTGTCCGAGTTCAATCCCTCCATGTGTAACCGCAACCGTGCCTCCATTTTTGTACACTGCAATTAGGCAATCATATCCGCCACCTTGCCATTCCACGGCATACCGCATCGGAATAACCCCGAGTCCCTTTTTCTTCCATCGACTATTATTGTTGAAACCAGCGACAGCTTGTACGCGTTCCTGGTATTGAGCGGACTCCAAGAGTAAGTTGGTGACAGGTACTAGACGGTTGCCGGTTAAAGTAGAGCCATCTAAAGGTTTATCACCATCTTGGAAGAAATTTAACTGTTTGATATTCAGCGAAGACTGTTTGAGCGATATGGCAATATGTTCCATAATGGTTTCGATGGTATAAATTGCTTCCGTGCTCCCTAAAATTATGTTGAGATTATCATGACCATTGACTGATCAGCAAAATAAGCTAATAAGCTATCCATCTTCTAGTGTACCTGGCGCTCTGGTGTAAGTGTTTGGAGGTCTATTTGTCTTGCAAGGAGTTAAGGTCATTTTCCAGTTTGCGCATTTATAGGCTGTAAAACATATACCAACTCAATAATACAATATTCAGGTTACTTAAGCAGCACCTCACCATTGTCGCCCCATTTTCCCCATCCTCGCAAACTGTACGCATATATTGCACCTGTGGATGATGCCGTAATAAGGATCACCTTACGAATGTACGGATCACCTTACGTATGTACGGAGTATACGGTATGATCTCGCTATGCAAACTAGCAACAAAACACTCTACAAATCGAGTTATTTATAATCTAACATAAAAGCTCTTTCCTGCACTTCATTTAAACTTTGAAGGAAAAAGAAGAGAAAAACACTGAGTTCTGAGAACTTACCGATATTGCAGTAGACATCAAGGACTACTCCCTGCAGTTTGCCGGCACCGTCTGTCCCGGCCTTATACTGAACGTAATATGGAAACCGTTTCCCAATTGACTTCAGATTGTCCCATAGAGACTGGTGCATTTTAACGGGCCTGACCGAGCAAACAAATGTTTAAAACTGCTGCTCTGGAGATGCTTGGATCTGGTAAAACATTTAGCATTACTATATTTTAAAGTACCGGCGCAAAATGTAAGCTGCAACAGCACTAGCCGACGCTATCAGTGCATTTCTTCCTCCTTTAGCTCCAAAACCTCCCCCGTTTCTTTTTATTTTGACATTAATGCTGAAATCAGAGAGAAACGTGAGCTTTTCAGATTCTAATTAAACACGCCTGAACGCACTGCGCCAAATGCATTCTCCATTCTCAATCTCCTTATTTTTTGGTGCATTAACTCAAATTGCAGAATTACCGATGCTTGCCGATGCCCAAAACTTTGGAAGCAGCATCCTGTGTAGTCGAAATGTTTTGTGTCCCAGCCTCAATATCGACGCCGTCTTCGGTGGGATAAGTTATGGCAACCTGCAAAATTTTGGGATTATCGGAATCAAACTGTTTTTACAAAACACAAAAAAAGTACCATAGTTTCCATGTGGAAGTGAGCCTGGGTGCCAATTTCAAACTCTCCTGAAATTTGATTGGCAGCGGATTTCACTGCAGCCTCTGCATCTCCAGCTTTAACATTTACAACACCAGGATGAAATGATTTTTCTCGGATAGCATCCTTGCACGACAAAACTGGATTGCGCACATTGCTGTATTGTATTTTGACCAGTTTGGCAGCGGCTTCGGCAATATCTTTCGTCTCTAAATTACAACGACAGCTACTTTTTTGTAGTTACATTTCGAATTCAAACTGTAAAATTGCAGAAGTTAGTCATACAAATATTCCTTTTACAGATATTGTACTATTTAAAAATAATTTGTATCAGAGTAATTATCTACGGGATGGTAGGCATTATTTGACGTGCAGGCTGCTAAGGGCGCAAAAAATGCTTACCGGCAACGACAATGGCAGCTGGTTGCCCCGCATAAATGGACTGGCTGCTGGCCAGCAGCTCTTCTTTGGATTCAGCGGAAAAGGTGATGTTGTTTTCGCCAGGAATATCGGCAGCCGTAAGTACACGCACAACACCCGGCAGTGCCTTCAAAAAAACCAAATTAAACATAATTAACAAATAAAAAATCGAATTATTTGCTGAACTGCATACTCCGCATTAAAATCAAATGAAAACATAATTAACCAATGAAAATCGATGTCTTTAAAATATGGGTTTGTGTATCCGCTGAACTGCGTACTCCGCTCCCTTTTTTTTAAACTTCTAAAATTAATGTACCATGGCATCGGTTACGTCGATCCGGTAAATTGTTGCTCGGCCTTCGGTGGTCAGAACAAAAGCAGCGTGAAGAAAATTCTCTTGATGGATATCACTTATATATTTAGCTTCTCCTGTACACTGCACCATAGATTCCAATTTGGGAATGGGCTGGGATAGAGGGTAGTTCTCTTTCTTGCTGACAAATGTCTGCATGCCGGAAGACACGGGTCGTGGAATATAGCCGATAGCGCTGCGGTAGCGTTCAGAAGCACTTCCTCCCACAACTTCCAAAGCGAACTAGATGTCGAAAGCGGAAACTAATGTTTTAATTCTATGTACACATGTTGTTGAGCGTAAAAGAAATTATTCTTAGGTGAATCAAAACCTGCTCCAATTAAAAGTGTGGATCGGAGTGCACTGACCTTGTAAAGTAAAGAGCAGGCTAAGGATTTTCGGTACTTTGCGCTGGCCTCATCTGGTTTTTCTTCCGGCTTCAGTTCTTTATTCAGCGCTGCGACGGCTTGTTGTAAAACTGTGCTGTCACCTAAATCCTTTCCATTGAGAGCGGATTCCGTTTGAGGAGCATGAATCTGCAATGGCAGCGACGAAATCGTTTGACATTATTTTTTTAAAGATTTGTCCCATATTTGAGCGTATTAAGTTCCAGGGCACCGTTCACTTACAAATGTGGCGTTGATGTTTCCAAACACTATTGCTGATTCACTTATCATAAATTTGTCGGTTGAACTTTTGTCGGCCTTTACGCGAAATCCTGCGTTGACATATCCGTGTGCATTCTAAATTATTGCGGGTTACCATTGGGAAGAAGTACCATGCGTTAACCACGCGTTTTTTTCTTGCAAACCTGAGCACGAGGCATAATTTTGTATGTGCGGAAGACGTAATCTGAATCGGCAAACGCCGGGACATCAAAGCGCAAAATAACTTTCCCTATTAAATCCGTGTTTAGAAAGTCCTCCACTGACATTCGGCTTTCTGTCGGTCCTAAAAAACACCGGTGCCTAACGATTAGTTGTCAGTTGTTAGTTTTTCACTAAATTTTCGTAAGTCGAATTCAAAAAGATTATTATATCATATTCTTTAGGAAAAAACATACAAGTAGGTTGATTTTCGTTATATTGTTATGCAGAATATAATGACCAAGAATACGCAAGTATACTGTACGGCATAACCAGTCTCCATTACGTAAATTTACCACCAACGGTAATCGAGGCCTTGGCTATCGCCAAGGCTGTGAAGGTATCGGAAGGGAATTCCTTATGGCGATTTTTCATAGCCAAATTGCCGCCCCAGGAGCCAACCTGAAAATACCGCTCTGTAACTAATCCTATGAATTGATGGAAATTGTTTGCATAATACAGTACTAGATTACTAGTAACGGTCTGATTGACAAACAGCCATTTAGACTGCAATTCGATTGCATACATACATTTCTCACGGAGACATGAGCTGTTCGGCTGATAATATCTGCCAGACTGTTCAGGTATTTAAATCCGGCTTTTTTAGCTTGATTTTGAAATATCTCAATCACTTCCCGCAGCGGAATGTTGGCTCCCAACGACAAGGAATCGTCGGTAGCATTAACCGCGTACAGATCTCGGATGCCCTTTATGTCGATGTATACATCGTAAGGCGTGTCATTGTATACTCCTTTGCCGGTATGACCCACAACGTAATACACGTTTCTTCCTGTATATTTGGGAAGCAGCTGATAGAGGTCCGCTAAAGATTCGGGTTTGTGCCATTCGGGTGCGAAATCTGCCACCGCCGCCGGAAGCGTAAGGACGTAAGGCGGGGCTTGACCACAGCATGAGCCGGAACACTTGCGGCTGTTTTCCACTGCGCATGGTTTTGGTATTCCGCAGTCCTGTGTCAAACCTGTTTCTTATATTAATATTCTGAATTCTGATCATGATGCATAATTTCCACCGTTTGATTTATGTAACCCACAATCTGGTGTTTACTTTTTGTTATGGCATAAATAACGTACTTCTAAGTCACAGATTTTATCTGTGGATGTGGCAAACGATTTGAAGGCATCCAGAATTGGCCGGTATCCTTAATAGAAAGAATAAAAGTTAAAAATGCTTGAAAATGTATTCCACGTCCAGGGTAACAAGGAGAATTAATAATACTACTTTAATATAAAATTATTATATTTGAATTTTTATTTTTGACAAGGAATCTGTTGACCGTTACCTGTACACCGGCAAATATTTCCTCCAAAAGAGTTTTCGATTTCCTGCTTGGTGAGCGATGTACTGCTTTGAGTCAAACTATCAAAATTAATTATTGCAGACTTGCAGGGGTTTTTAAGCAAGGAAGTCAAAGTTTTCTTAAAAAGTACGAATGTGCCCGCTATGGTTTTGACGCCCCTATTCGGTACCTGTACATATTCATCACCATCCCCGGTGTACAATATCCGCATTGTGTTCCATAATGATCAGTTAAAGCAGATTGGATAGGGTGTGGCTTCTTCTGGTCACCAATTCCTTCCACCGTCAGAATTTCCCAACCGTCGCATGACAAAACGGGACACAAACACTATACAGATAATAAGAATATTTTTCAGAGCACTGCATTTAACGAACAATATTTTTCAGTTTTCGCTTATTAGTGTGCTTGTTAGTTTGTGCATTGTCAAAACCTCATTACCGAATTAATCGAGCGCTGAATAATTTGTCCAGGATTCAGGGGATCCGGAAATGCCGCATTGACAATGCATGCTCCGCAGCCGCCTTCTCGGCAAGTCACTTTCGTTCCCGTAAGTTGTAAATGCTCTCGTAAATAATCATTGAGACTGACTTCCGAGTATGTCTTCGGAACTACAAGTATATGAAAAGAAAAGACAGATTCAGTTGCTGCGTTTTTGTGTATAATATTCTTGCGAAATGGCGATTAATTAGGCATGAAAGCCGGGTGATGTAGAAAGATCTCTTCGTACTTACCTATATCAAGTTGTCAACAAGGCAAGCAAACAATATTTATCGAGCGAGCTGTACTCACTTACCGTCATAGTTTCTTCCATTAATTTTTACATGTATTTTTTCATCTGCTTTTGTCGGCTGCAGCACTGGTGGAGTCATATTGATTTCTCAGATTGGCTACAATACAAAAAAGCATGCAGGGCTACTCAAATAACGTTCAACACATTTCGCAGGTGAAATGCGGAGTATCAAAATAAGATATTTCTTTCAACATCTCAAACAAGTGCTCCAGAGTGTCCAGTCAAAAAATGATAGCAAACGTATGAGTAAGCGAAAGCTGCTTGTTTTGCGGTGCCCGCGTCGAGTGCGTTATGATAATCCAGTTGGGGACTTCCAGTCTATATCGAAGGTGCGTTTGTTATTAATGTTTCCTCCAGCGCTTTGTCAGCATAAAACCGATGTTTACAACCGCTTTGCTTATGCGATACATAGTTTACAGCATCCTCATGTACGTCCCCATTCTCCACACCGTGCAAACTTCAACATTCAGGTATTCACGCATTCTGAGAAACGTATCGACTGCACTGTTTTCCTATAACTCAAACCTAGCTACAGGCATGCGTTATAATTATTATTGTACTTGTATATTGTTACAGTACTAATGGTAAGTCTATAGGGTCTGTGCTCTTATAGACTTGTACGGTTTGGTTAACATAATTTATACATGCCGTTGCGCACGTAATGGTAAGCTTCCAGCGATGGCATCTGATAATTTTATTATTTTGCCAGCTGTGCCGGTACGTTGCGCGCATTTTCACAGGTATACCAACAGTATGTACAATACCGTGCCGCGATTACAAAGGCAACTTGATTATCGGAAGTTCAGAAACTTTGCAGTAAGACAAATCGTATAAAGGTTGTTTTATTATTCGCGCAGGCATGACTTTTCGTTAATCCACCAGAGTGAACGTCCCAAAGAACAAAAACTACTGCAGGCGTCGATGTCTGATTTTTTCCGCGCACACTTTCGTGCTCGTTGCGCGTCATGTCTTCTAAACGAAAACGAATCTACAATCGCGACGTTACGTACAACATACAGTAGGCTGCGTAATAACTGACAGGGTAAAAGTCATGTCAACAAAGTATTTTGTGCGCTATTTACTTAAATGGTTATCGCTGCTATTGTAGTTTTGAATAAAGATACGATTTTTTACACACGTCGTAATCGTAAGCTTCGCATTATGTACTCGTACTGTGCACTGTTACCGTTAAATAAAAATACTTACAATGCTACTGTACAGTACAACATCTTATGTCATAATTTTTTCAATAGGTACAATAAGCCAAAACTATTAGATCAGAAACAACGCCTATACAGTACAATACATACGCTCTGTATATTTTGCATAGCTATATTTACCGAGGAATTTAACGCCATATAATAAATATAGTAAGTACTTCATTAATCTTCGCATTTTTTGCTTGCAGTGCACGTTTGAAAATATGCACAGCGAAATAGCATACACATGCATACAGTATGAATAATCAAGCACGTATTAATCAAGTATATCCCGTGGTTATCAAGATTTAACGATAATTATTTTGTTAATCTAATCGGTGCTTTAAAATTTCAACAAACATCATGTTTAACTCATACACGACATACCGGTGATAAGCAAAATCTGCTTACTGTAAAATGCCCCTGGCGCATACGGTGTCGCTCGCTGCATTTTCTGGAAGTTAATGGATTTAATTTCTCCAATTTGTAAAAGCAATCGACGTTCTAGGGTATTCTAAAAATCGAAATCGTTTCGCCAGCTTTGTCGGGGCAAACAAGCGCATATTACGAGAGCCGAAATGATTGTTCTGGATGAAATTCAGTTACCTGAGCTGGTTAAGGCAGTCCAAGACGATTTCCCCCGTTCGCTCATGGTAAACCATATTCACGTTTATAAATTACATTTGTATAGATATTCTGAATATATATCGTTACAATGTTCTGCAATGTGTTCATTAAAAGCAAACAATATTTGCTACGATTACAATAGTTACGATTACAATATCTACGCTTCTTAAATATTTTAATTATTTTACGCGAAAGATCTAATGCTGAGTAGTGTATGTTAGATTTTCCACCTTGCGCGAAATGTGATTCGCAACCGGTATTCCTGGCCGGGCCTGGAGTTCGTGGTTGATAGTTTCCCGGATATTTCCGTCTGTGTTTGCCGGCCAGCCATAAACGGGCAGGTAATATTGTCGATCTACATTAAAGTGAAATCCTCGAACAAGATTCCCGTATGACAATGCTGTTTTATGTGCAGAATTATATTCCAATACTCAACGGGTATTCCGTGTTCACTTACTCAAAAAATGCCGAAATGTTTCGTAAAATGATTTTCCAAGAGACGGTAGTGGACTGGACCCAAGAAATAATGTTTATCGGTGCGTGTACCGTGATTTCAGGATAAATGTTTAGTGTTGACGGGAGTTTATTAAACACTCCCCTTATCCATGCAGCTCAGTTAACTGCAGACACAAAGTACTTACACAAAGTATACACTCTACTTGTAACTGTCTCACGCATGCAGTTCAAAATACTGCTTGATATCATGTATTTTTACGGTTTTCGAGCACTTTATTACAACTTAGATCATCTTAATACGTTCTCGTAAGTTTATTATACTGTATAGAAGTCAATAAATTATTATTATTCTGCAAATACGATTGTAAAAATACAAAAGCTGCCTACAACAGTTTAAATCATGATACAGTCATCGAATCCAGAACTACTTACTTATATTGTGTTTGTACTTTGTATTCTACTTGTAACTGTTTGTATTCTCATAATCGCATCTGCAGGGATCAGTGAATTGGAAAGCAAAATACTGCTTGAGTATGGGAACAAAGCGTGTATTGGAAAATTTAAATATTATGGTTTAGTGGACGGTTTTCCTCCCGGAGCACTTTATTACAACTTAGATCATCTTAATACGTTCTCGTAAGTATCATTATACTGTATAGTATAATATTTTATTATTATTCTGCAGATACGATTGTAGTTTCTGCGAAAAAATACAAAAGCTGCCTGTGCGGTACAACAGTTTAAATCATGATACAGTCATCGAATCCGCTTTTTTTGTATAATATATAGGTATACGCTGCCCGTTGGATTCCAACTGGGGACTCTAACAGAACAGCATCTGGAGCAGTTAACTAGCGAAAGGAATTACGGTAACACGGAGAACACCAGGAAGTTCTTCCGGCAACTGCTTAAGCACAACCACCCTAGTGTAGCCTTGTTTAACGAGAACAACATTCCCATTTCTTACGTGCTGTACAAAACCGAAGGCTGCATTGGAGGAGCCTATACAAACCCAGAATACCGTGGACAAGGTTTTTTCAAAATCGTAACATTTGAACTGCTGAAAAAGCTTAAAGAAGACGGTGAAGTTTTTATATTTGGCGATACATGGATTTCCAATATTCCCTCGCAAAATGCCCAAATCGCCGTGGGTGGAAAGAAATATGAGGATTATGTTGCATACTGGATAAGTTATACACCGTCGACTAATAATTCTGAGATTACTTATCAATCTTTCTAGTGTTTTTTTTTATTTTTAGTGCTGTGTATGTAGAAAAGGTTATCGATACTGGCGATAAGTGTGGTCAGCTTTCGATGAATTTATTACTCATTAAATTTTACGAGTATCAATGTCTCTTTATTCATGTTTACATCGCGACATAACAGTCATGACTCGTATCACTGCTGCTGGCACTGCACAATCAAGAATTAAAAAAACAACCAAAATCACTATTATCAACAAATTTATTCTTGGCCGGTAAAGTTTACGACCCGGCTGCCGTTTTACGAGTATTATAAACGTCAATAGCACTGAAACCACCATTTAATCCGGTCGTTTAACTGACGATTGAATTATCAGCCATAAGAATAAAAACCAGTTGTAATAAATTGTAAGTAATTGTAATAAATCAATTGCAATAAATTAATTGAAAGAACACAACATAACGGACGCTTTAATGCATATTCTGTCCGCAAATAAAAGCGCTAAAAACCAATAAGGCGTTGGCGGAAAGTGGAAGTCCAAAATTCTTGATGTAAATGCGAGGGCTTTTCGAATTCGGCACCTACCAAAATCCCATTGTTTAATCCTTGTAACGAAACCTGGTGGAGTCAACTTTTGCATGCTGCTGTGCCTGCTCAACGGTGATAGGCGTGTCTGTGAATAGTAATCAAATCACCAGGTACATGTACGATCATTACAAACGAGAGCCGAAGGAAACCATACCAAAACGCCAGAAGTCGACAGCATGACCTTTATCGTCCAAAGCCGCTTGAATCGCATTTCGTAAGGCAAACACAGCCGAAATAACCAGACATAACGGAGGCTCCGCCGCAGCTGTAACGAGATATACAGTGCGAGCAATTTTTTCCAAAATACCTATTGCTAAACTTCCCTGGTTAGCCATTCTGACATACTTTTACTGCGTAGCACTCCTAACGGGTTGGGTGCGTTGCGCAATAATTCCACTCGAAAGTCCACCGGAATGTCCTTGGAGGTTGGCGGCTTATATTTCCAAGTCGTAGGTGTCAGGTTAACCCCAGATTTCTTGTCATAGATAACCTCTTCCGATGTGAAATATCCCAGTCCCATCACAACAGCCCCCTCAATCTGGCCAATGTCTGTTAACAAAAATTACCAGCAGTGGTGTCAAAGCTTCTGGAATAACATTATTGCCAAAGACGTTTTCATACCGACATAGGGAGAAATGCTTTCTCCACAGTCATACAGCAAATCAACCCGATTGAACTGATATTCTCCAGTGAGAACGTCAAACTCGACTTCACTACACACTGGAATTGAGTAGAAAACAGTATTAAAAACCTTTCCAAATTTCAAGCAACTAACTGGACTCACTGGCGCCGTAAGTATTGTAAGCGGTCGGGGCATCGTGAGGTGGGGAAGCCCTAGCAAATAATCGGATTTTGGTGATTTTTTGTGGGTTTCAGCGTATTGCATACAACTATTACGAATTATATACGAGAATTTTATCATTTATATAATATGACATTTTTTCTGGATTAACTTACTATCTTTATGAATTTCTACACTATTTAATTTCCGTTAGCATGAAAATTAGCTTTGATTTTATTTTTAATGACTCACCATCCTCGTGCAAACAGATCTATTCCTTTGTTGTATGCCGTTTCCACCAAATCTTCCCAAGTGGCGTTTGGAAGAGCGCTGCGCAGAGGCTGAATGCGAGTTTTCAGTTGTTGACACGCACTGATTGCAGCCTGTAATTCCCGTCGATTTATGTACCATTTTTATATATCATTTTTTGCGATTACAAAGAAGTGCAATCGCACTTTAACTAACGAAAATTGCGGCTGAATTGTATAAATAATAATTACCGTACAATATTTCACAATTTCACGTACCAAACAACAAATCTCACTGGTAACACTTCCTCCCGTGGCGAAAGAATTCGGACAACTAATGGAAGTTGACGGTTGAATTACGACATATTTTAAATCCACTCCCAGTTCATATGCAACCACTTGCGCCACCTAAACGATGAATCTTCTTGGTTGAAAGTTTGTTCGCGCAAATTCTGATCGAAGAAACGTTTTTTTAGCAATGGTCACCTTGGTGTTGATTCCTTGGCCAATCTCGATTCCTCCGTGCACAACCGCTACCGATCTAAATAAAGGACACAAAACCTTCAAAAATTTTATCAAATGGTAAGCGGCTAACGCCTATCCGTACCCATCGTTATGATAAATGGATACGTTGCAGTTGTACTGAAATCCCGCCCAGTCTACAGGATAACGCATAATGGAGAACCCGAGTCCCTTCTTCCTCCATTTATTCCCCTTATTGAAAGCCGTGACCTCTTGCAGACGTTTAACGTAATCCGAGGACTGGAGCAACTGATCGGTTACAGAATTCAGTGCGTTGTATTTTAGTGGATGACCGTCCAAAAGTACATCTCCTTCTTTATAGAAATTAAGACGTTTAATATCCAGTGCCGGTTTTTTCAAGACATAGGCAATATGCTCCATCACATATTCCATGAAATAATAAGCTTCCAAGCTCCCTGTTTAGTAAACGCTGTTAACTGCCAATAACATAAAACCAGAAATCAAACAAATTTACAGTTCTTGGTGTACGAAGGTTTAAAAGCATAATGACTAATCATAAGCACTATTTTTTGGTAATGTTTTGTTTGTTAGTACTACAGATGTTCCATGGCAAATGTAGTAATTGTGAGTATTTCGTATCGACCTGGAGCACGGCACCAAGAATTTTGTGGTAGGTTGGTTTTGCAGAGTGTCATGTTGATCTTCCAATTTGGCGAGCGGTACGCTGAAAAGAACAAAGAAAGAATTAGCTTTAATGGCATATATTTGATTTAATATCGGTAAGATAAAAGTTAATTTTCTCACATGAATCGCCCCACTTTTCCCAGAACATGTACGGATTGGCCGTGAAGTTGTATCCTATTAAAACCAGTAAACTGGTCAATCGTAGTCATGGTTTTTTCCACTAACAGATATTACTGTGCCAAGTGCATAATAAAATTTTGTTCTTGATTATCAATTATTTAGTTTACCCATGCTCATATACAAGTCGAATATAAGGGCTTGAACTTTCCGTTGGCGTCAAATGCTGCTTTGTATGTCATGTAATATGAAAATCTTTTGCCAACGCTGTATGAGTTCGTATCCAGTCTCATATGCATCTTTACTGGCCTAAAACAATTTTTATATTAGATAAATATGTGCTAAAATTGGTTTGAATAGGTGAGCAAACTTTAAATTTGATTTGTTCGTCTACAGTACACAACTCTGTAGTACACAACTACTAGTGAAAAGTTGAAACCTAATAATTACAAATTTTTTACCGGCGCAAAATAAATGCAGCCAATGCCGTTGCGGTCGACGTGTGACAATTGCGGAAGATTTTACTTCCAAAAGAGCCACCGTTTCGCTTGACTGTGACATTAATCCTAAATCATAAATAGTTACTAGTATCATACTGACAAAAGAGGACTATGTTGATAGTTAATTTTCTACTTGTTTTTGCTGAGACCGGTCACAAATGATGCTGTGCTTTGCGTGGAATCAATGTATTGCGTTCCTGCTTCCATATTGAGACCATCTTCTGTGGGATAGGTGACACAGGTCTGCAGAAAAAATTGGCTGTTACAGCACGCAAAGAACGTAATGAAAAACATTCTGGTTTACACTAAGTTGTGCTGGTCAAATTATTGGTATACAGTAGGCCCTGACGTACCATGGTCTCCATATAGAAGTGATTCTGTGTACCCATTCTGCAATTAAAAAATTTGAGATTACTACACCCATCAACGAAACTACGAAATATTTGCGCGTTGCATTCAAAATTATGCATTTACTCCATTTCACCACTGATCTTGTTCCCGGAACCGGTTTTTGCGTATACGCCTTCGGCGTCCCCGACAACAATGGGTTTTGGCGCCATCGGGAAAAATGACTTCTCTCGAATGGCATCCTTGGGAGTCAGCATCGGTTCACGAACATTACTGTATTCCACTTTAACCAAGACAGCTGCTGCCTCAGCAATCTCTTTCGTTTCTAAAATTAAAAAAACACCTCACAGTTTGTTTTGTCCGAAATTTTAAGATAATCACAGAAAGAGCATCCATAAGTTAAAATTTTGTGTTCCGCATACCAGCGATAACAATTGCGACGGGTTGACCGGCATATGTCGACTGTTTCGATGCCAGAAACTCTTCCGGTGCTCCCGGAATGACACTTAATTCATTGGTGCCGGTAATATCCGCCGCTGTCAAAACGCGAATAACGCCTGGCAGAGCCTAAAACAACGGTCAGCCTGTAAATTTCGTTTTAATTATGACGGATATGGTACGCGCGGTTCTAACCATCGCCTCAGAAGAGTCCACTTTGTAGATGGATGCATTGCCTTCGGAGGTGACGGAAAATGCTGCATGTAACATTCCCTCCTGCTCAATGTCCGAAGGATACTTTGCTTCGCCGGTGCACTGCACCATCGCTTCCAACTTAGGAATTGGTTGGTTTAGAGGGTAATTCTCCTTTTTCGAATCAAAAACCTGTTTTCCAGATGACACTGGCCGTTGAATCATACCAGTCGCCGATTGGTACTGTGGACTTGCTGCGTCGCCGACAATTTGCAAGGCAAACTACAGAAAACAATCTTGACACAATACCAAGTAGGCTAACCAATAATACAAAATAATACTGACTCTAATAATTCTAAAAATTAACTGAAAATAATTTCTATCGTGTTCAACAAGATCATTGCCATAAACTAAAATTCTTTAACTGCAATTATAGGTACGTTATATGCCATGTTTATTCTGTACATTCCGTTATATGCCATGTTTATTCTGTTTATTTGGTACAGCGGATAAAATTATGTGCAAACCTTGTAAAACAAGGATTGACTAAGGGACTTTTTGTAAACTGGGCTGGCCTCGGCCTTTTCTTCATAGAGTGCATGTTCAGTTGTTGAGAACATTGCTAAAAAGCTATCACGTTTCTATGTGATCGTACCACGGCACGTGGCATGATTTTGAAGCCCAAAAACACGTAGTCATCCCCATATGTTGGAAGTTCCACGCGTAAAATGACCTTTCCCTCCATTGACAGAGTGAGAAACTCTTCACATGTATGTGATTCCTCTCCTGGCCCTAAAAAAATATGTTACGCCGTTTAAGCGCGATGGGATAGTAGTTGCGATTTTACGTGTTTTTAATTATTCTGGCATTTGCTATTGTCATGGCGATGTAGGTTTCCGACGGAAAATCGTTATGACGATTCTTCATAGACATGTTTCCTCCCCAGGATCCCGCCTAATTAAAGAAAACATACATATTATGTTATAGGGTGACCCGAGTTACAATTGTTCCAATTTTCCAGTTAGTCAGGACAGACAGCACTGCTGTAAAATCACAAAGCTTTAATGTAGATGGGGTTATCAAAAAGGCTAATTCGTGATCCTGCGTATGGTTCGGATTTTAAGCCATGCATGTGGATGCATGGCGCTGGTAGTATGGATACAAAGTTGTTCTTACATTTCGCACTGGTGGCTGCGCGGTTCGGAGCAACAGGTTAGCCAGCGCGTCCAAATATCGGAACCCGGATTTCTGGCTTTCATCTTTCCACAAGTCAATCAAATCCGTTAAACTGACACTGGCACCGACGCTCAGTTTGGAGCCGTCGTTTTTTATGGTGTAAAGATCGGGGATGCCTTTTAAATCCACGTAGACATCATAAGGAGCATCATTATAGACTCCGATGCCGGTGTGACCAACAACATAGTAAATATGTTTCCCGGTCAGTGTTTTAATCAGCTGGTACAACTCGTTCAAGGTTGTCGGTTTATGCCACGGGGACGCGTAGAGGGCGGCCGAAGGCCGGTAGTGCTTTCACGTACGGTTGCCAGGATGACTGACACTGTCCTGCGCAGGGCTGACCAGTTGGTTGTCGGCACATCAACCCCAGATCCTAAAAGATGACAATTCCATATTCCAAAGTGAAAGCACGAAAAACATGTAAAAACTTCAGTATGCTAATATCCTTCGCTAAATTCTTATATAGATATTAAGTACTTGGGTATACACTCAAAACCATTAAAACTTCGTTGCGTTAACTGACAATTAGGTAAGAACCTAATACCTAATACTGAAAAACTTAATAGTGTATTGCAGTTTGCATTGTAAAATAGCTGAATTGGAATAAACTACAGAGCTAAAATTATCTATATAGTTGGCATACCCTACTAGTGCAAAGCTATCAGGAAGACTGTTTACGAAAGAATGATTGTACCTGGAGCTGATTATTGCTTTCCAAGCGAATATGCTAACTATGACAGGTGCATAATTTGCGTATTTTAATTTATTTGTCTTTGGATGCTGAGCGTTTATTCAAAACCATACTGTACTTAAATTATTCTGGATGAGTCAGGTTTAAATTAGAATTATACGACCTTTGTGGATGAAATTCAGACCAAGAGCAAACATACGGTAAGCGAGCGATTACAAATCCCACGCAGACTGATTCAGTGCTATTTCCGCCTGATCAGTTTTTGGTATGACAATCCTACCTCCATATCGACTTTCTTGGCACAGGTTGAGTCCGATGCAAAGGTTTTAAAAGCTTCGAGAATTGGTCGATATCCTAGACACCAAAATAAACTAAGTGAACGTTAACCTGCTCAGACGTACATAAGTAAATGTGGTGCACAGTAGCTCGGGAACCGGTTCCCTTTTGTCATTAGTGGTGCAGTGCTTATGTTACCAATCGTCCGTCTGCTTGCCACTGATTACTCAACAAACCGAGTATTGTAACTGTAGTCTGCTTGTCTGGCAACGTTTTTAACTTACCCGTACATCGGCAAAGGTTACCACCGAAAGCCGCTTCCACCTGCTCGCTAGTGACATTTCCTCCAGAGCTTTCCAATAAGCTGCAAGAAATATAACTTATTTTTAAAAAATAGGAATTATTTAATTATCTATGAAATATTGCTAAATGCTGTCAAAATGCTTAAAGAATGTTACGTACGAGCTTACGTACGTCAAATGCTTAAAGAATGCTCGTATATAATAATGATAAAAGTATAAAATACTGAGCAGTGCGCTTCACGCCTAATGCGCACGAGCATGTCACCCGATATAAATCCGCTTTATTTCAATTATATTATAAAAACTGCTATGTTTAGGCATATTACCTGTGCATGCTCATAACCATCCGGGCGTGCAGTATCCGCATTGTGTTCCAAAGTGCTGTTGCAACGTTTGTTGAATGGGATGTGGCTTTTTCTGGTCCCCGAGACCTTCTACGGTCGTAATTTCCCATCCATCGCACGACAAAATTGGGCACAAACACTGCAGAAATGTAAGCGTGAAGAATTACGACGGCAAAAGTGTACATTTTTCCTTGCGCATACATTTAACATAAAATTTAAAATTTATTGGACAATACTTACAATAAAGATCTGTTTATTGTAGCACTAACCGAATTAATAGCGCGTGATATTATTTGTCCTGATCCTTTTGGATCGGGAAACGATGCAGTAACCACACAGGCGCCACAGCCACCTTCGCGGCACATAACCTTTGTTCCAGTCAGCAACAAATGACATCTCAGGTAATCGTTTAGGGATACTTCAGAGAAGGTGTACGGTACTGCAAAGCAAGAGAACTGAAGTTCAAATCAGTTTGCAGAGGTAAGGCCAAATTAACATGCGTACAGTCGTGAAATTGTACAGTGAATACTCCTAGTACACATGTAATCCAGGAGACGATGAATTAAACCAACTGATTTTTACCTTGATACTTGATTCCGTTAATTGATACAGATATTGTTTCCTGCTCCTGCGCAGGAGTTGCCGCAATCGGAGGGGTCATGCTTGTTTGTTGTGTCTCTGGCCTTGTATTTCCTAGAAGCCTCTGAGTTAGCAGAGGTTTCTTAGCGAACTAAAAACATCTGAGAAACGAAATGATACTTTCATCAGCAAGTCACAGACGACTGAATAATTACCGGCACAAAACCTTAGTCGAATAATAATAAGGAAGCTTGTATGCCAATATCTTTTACGGTCACAAGGTCTGGTGGAACCTTGCCGGTTGCCTTAACAAATGATTTACCGTGCGAACAAGTTGAATATGGAAATTATTCTCTCGGTTCTTTTTTTGCCAGCTCAGCCAACCAACTATGTATCGTACATCTGTTTATTGTATTTTTGTCGTGCTCGCCTGAAATACTCGAAGTATATGAATGGTGCAGTCCGATCGATGCCTGGTGCTGCTTGGATAATCAAAAACTGCTAATACATACGGTTCGTGGCAGTATATTTACAGTTGAATCGAGTTGATTACTGTACCCTAAACAGCGTAGGACACTTTGTGAAATTTGCTTACACATGTGTTGTTTTCAGTGTGAAGTGAAAAATGGAGTGAAAAACTAGTTCTCAGGTATTGGTCAGCCTCAGATTGTTTTTATTATATAAATTGGCAAAAAGTTAGCATACAATGAGCAAAACAAAATCTTAAGCACAGGTAAAATCCTAATCAGTATGGGTTCCTTCGCTTATTGTTAGCTCAATCTGCAGTTAATATTAAACGACATTCTTCGTTGTTGTATCCTGCATATTTGAACATTTGCATTCAAACCGCATTAAGCGGACATAAAGTGTTTATATCGTTAGTAATCTTTATATCGCATCTGTGAAATGTCAGTTTGGGCGTACTGTTGCATTCTTTCCACAGTTAAAGGCGATTCTGAAAAAAATAATGTAGCGCAATAAATTTTACTAACTGCCACGTTATCCTTTAGTCTTATAGTTTCGCACCCATAATAATCCAGTCGTTTCCTTTGCCAACTTCCAGCAGCTGGGCATAAATCGCATTTCGAAGAGCGAAAATGACGGAAGTGGTCATTAATAGCGGCGGTTCTCCAACAACTGTAAAAGCAGTGCGGCGTTATATTAAAATGGCAAATGTGCAGACGTACACGGCGACAGAATCACAGATGCTCTAAATGAACCCATTCAAGCCCGAGTAAAACAGCTTGTAGGAAAAACGTCAGTTTAACGTGTAACTACTGCTAGGTGAACGGATGTGTGTCAATTTTAGCCGTTTCCCAACGTTTAGCTAACGTTTTTTTTGCAGGTTGTTTTACTCGGGAAGTCAACTTTTCTGACCTTTGCTTCGCAGAACCCCGCTAGGGTTAGGGGCGTTTTGAAGAAGAGCAACTCGAAAATCAATGGGAATGTCTTTCGTGGTGGGAGGTTTATACTTCCATGTGCCGTAGGTCAAATTCTCTCCGGTTTTCGGATCAAATAATACCTCTTCTGAAGTCAAATATCCCAAACCCATTATTATTGAGCCTTCCACTTGTCCGACATCTGTAAGAAAGCGCGGCGACGTTAAGTTGCGGTTACGGCTTACGAACACTTGCAAAAAACTTGTTTTTTTCATTTACTTGCTGACAGACAAGACAGCGATAAATGTGTAATTCGCATGCATAATACTACTAAAGAAGGTATATGCACGTGTGCCTGTAATTACACGTGGAATAATATTCTATGTATAAAACAGTTATTTTTGCCTTTAAAGACAGTACCAACAAGTGGAGATATGGATTCGCCACAATCGTACAACAGATCCACTCGGTTGATTTGGTATTCCCCAGTTAACACGTCAAGTTCAACTTCCGTGCACACTGGTAGACAACAAAAACACAGTCTAGATTAAACTGTACGCGATAATTGTTTACATAACGATAATTACTGTGCTAGCAAATCTCGAAAATATTTTGGAATTGAAGTAGTAATACTGAACACGATGATTGCGAGATCACCATATTACACGCACTTGCTCCATAAGTGTTGTATTGTACCAGCTGCACCACTTCCGCGGCTTTTGCTGCTACCCTAGAATAATAAATTTTCTAATATTAATTACGGGTTTATTAATAAAGTATGTTCAATTTGCGCCTTCTTTTACCATGCTTGAGCGCAAAGGTTAACTCCACCTCGGAAAGCTTTCTCGACAATATCTTCCCATTTAGAATCCGGTGGCATGGAATCTTTTGTTTTCTTCATGTTGGCTTTGATTTGACTGCAGCAGTTAATGGCAGCCTACAGAAACAGTCTTAATTTGCTGTATTAATTTAAATTTTTCTTTACGCTTGCGAAATCTTTTCGCAAGCCTAAAAAAAATAAATTAACTCTGGCAGAATAAATTAGTTGCTTCAATCTACCTAAAAATATTGGCTTACCAAGCAGCACAATTCACTGGAAATGGAACTGGCCGTACAAATCGCATTTGGGTTTGTGATACCTTGGGTCGGTTGGATTGTGACATACTGCATATCAATTCCCAGCTCGTATGCTACCACCTGAGCCACCTAAACGATAAATTTTCAGTAAATCTACACTTACAGCTGTCCACATCCTACCCGGTGATAACAACATTTCCTTTTCTGTATGCTAATGTAATGTAACTGTTGGAAAAAAATATTCTGATACTGCCTATGCAAGCTTTCACAGTAGACACGTACTTTTGTATTGATTCCCTGTCCCATCTCGATCCCACCGTGTGTAACCGCAACATAACCGCCGGTGTGGTAGACGGATACCAAACAGTTAAAGTACCCTGTATTCCACTCACACGCATACCTAACAGGTGATACCCCCAGTCCGCGTTTGCGCCACCGGTTGGCTTTGTTAAATTGTTCAATGGTTGCTACGCGGTTTTTGTAGTCGGCTGATTCTAATAACTGAGCGGTTATCGGGGCAATGGTGCAGTTGGTTAACGGAATTCCGCCTATAATAAGCCGGTCTCCATCCTTTAGAAAATTGGCCTGTTTAACGTCGATGGCGGGCTTTTTCACGGCAAACGCTACATGTTCCAGAATTGTCTCAACGAAATGAACCGCTTCAAAGCTCGCTGTAAACAAGTAGAAAAGCACTTGAAGTTGTAACTGAAAAAGGTCACAACAGTCGCTTTAAGTCTACCTGGTGCGCGACAATAAAGATTTGACGGAAGGTTTGTTTTGCATTGAAAAAGATTGAATTTCCAGTTATCCGATTTGTATACTACAAATGACACACAAATAGACTGTTGAAGACTGAAGAGTTCGAGCTATACAATAACGACAATACCATTTTCGGCGAATAAAAACAAAAAAGTAATGGCCGGCGATCCAAGGTACGCACCTATACGTACAACGGTGTCACATGCAAAACGGTACCGAAATCTAGCAAATACATGTAGCAAAACGTCTGTACTTACCGGTGTTGCAGTAAACGTCACAAGACACCCCCAGTATTTTTCCATTATCATCAAAGCCAGCACTATATTTCACGTAATATGCATAGCGTTTTCCCACGAGCTTTGAATTATCCCACAATGTCATATGCATTTTGACCGGTCTGCGCAAAACAGTTTAGGTAGATCGAAAACTAATCTTTTTGCGACAGCACTTTTCTACAAGAATATGTACTCACCTCTTCAAAATCCAAGCTGCCATTGCGCAAGCACACGCTGAATGGTTGTTGCGGTGAATTTTTGCGCCGAACGCGCCGCCATTTCTTCGCACCGAAACATTTATTCTGTAAGCAAAGGCAGTTAGAGCAGTGTATATATTAAGTTTTGTTATTAAGCTCGGAAAAGAATACTTTTTTTGTGAAACAATACTCCCGAACGAATGCTTATTTGCTTAGTTTTAGTCAATTATCAATCGCACAGTTATTAGTTGACACTTGACAGTCTGTAGATTTTGTACACCATACACAAGAAATCTAGCTGACACAAATACTAGGGTAGAAATACTAGGGTCTTAGAACAGAAACGAATAATGTGAAAGCAGACATGCAATACAAAAAGCTTTTTATGATTTACTTGTTTTTTGGCACCCCAGTGACCAGAGCGACACCATCCTGGACGCAATCGATCCACTGAGTACCGGCATCCAAATCTATACCGTTCTCAGTTGGATAAGCTATGGCAACCTACAAGAAAAAAACCGCATCCTTTTGCAGGCGTATCGTTTTAAACAAATCAGATTCCGCGGTAAGCATAAAAAATTTTCTGTTTAATAATAACGCCTCAGTTTACCATTGTTTCCATATGGTAGTGCGCCTGATGCCCAAGTGTTATTTCCCCACCGACTTTATGGGGAGCATTGGCAATGGCCGTATCCGCATCCCCGACAACAATGGTTGGTGCGTTCTCAAAAAATGACTTTTCGCGTATTGCATCTTGGATGGTCAGAATGGGGTAGCGGATGTTGCTGTAATCGACGACGACCAGTTTTGCCCCGGCTTCGGCAATATCACGCGTAACTACAGAAAAAAATCGTTAACAGTAACACAAAAGTGTTTTACGATTTTTTGTTTAATTTTATCGAGGGGGAAGATATGTACGAGTACTACGGGTACAGTATTACAGTATACTTCATTTGTACCTTTCCTGAGGCTGTCCTGGTCTGTATTATATATGACGGACCTTTTTTCGTGTTATTGATAAGTACGAGTACCTGCAACACAACTGCGACTGGCTGTCCTGCATAAAGCGACTGTCGAACAGCTAACATTTCTTCGGCAGTGGTAGGGAAACTTGGATCATCGAGAGGAAAGATACTGTTAACTCCAGGGATATCAGACGCTGTGAAAACTCGAAGAACACCGGGCAACGCCTAATTGAAAGTAATCTTTCGACAGCAAATTCAATATATCCTGACATAATGCAGCAATCTAACCAGAGCTGGAGCTGTGTCAATCCGATAGATTGTAGCGTTGGCTTGTGTAGTCAACACGAACGCCGCATGCAGAAGATCATTTCGTTCAATATCCGCAATGAATTTCGCTTCGCCAGTGCACTGAACCATGGACTCAATTTTGGGAATGGGTTGCGTCAGAGGCCAGTTTTCCTTTTTCGTCGGATACGACTGGATGCCGCTGGAAAGAGGCCGTTCCAGTCTTAAACTACTTGTTGCGCTGCGATAGCGTGGATCCGCAAAATCACCAACAATAGTTAACGCAAACTGTAAAATTTCGTCGGGTTAATTATCATAATTATTTACAGCAATCACCGGTTCAAAGTTTTTAACCATAACTTATAAAACAAGGATAAGCATATCGACCGCCTAACTTCCGGACGGGCTTCGGATGGGTCGGTTGTCGGGTTGACTTCTTTATTCAGAATCTGCAGGGTCTGTTGCAAGATATTCACGTCTCCAATGTTTTTGCCAAGCAGAAAGGCTTCCGTTTGCACCGCGCGCACCTAGTCAATGATGATCACAATATTGTTTTTTCTGTGGTGACTACGAATCCTCATCCACATATGAAACGTACAAAATTCGCTGCAATATTTCCAAAGACAAGACAAGGTTTTTCTGTAATAACAAATTGTCCTTCGCTTTTATCAACTTTTGCTCGAAACGCCGCATTGACGATGGCGTGTGCATTCTGGAATGACAAATTGGTCACAAAACCAGCAGAAAAGCTAGACAATATTTTAATTACCTGAGACCTCGGCATTACTTTATACGTTTTAAAGTAATAATCGTTTCCAAAAGCAGGCAATTCCGCGCGTAGAATGACCTTTCCTTTCAAGTCCGATTTCAAAAACTCGTCAGCCGGAAGTGCCTTATTGTCTGGCCCTGAAGCCGACACGAGCAGTTTGCGAAATTTACGCTTTTGGGTTATTTCATTTACTGAAATAAAATCTGGAAAAATGATACGATTGTAACAAACCTGTGTAAAGGATAGCATTGGACACGACCATGGTAAGAAACGTTTCTGATGGGAATTCTTTGTGCCGGTTCTTCATGGCCATATTCCCGCCCCACGACCCAACCTAAAAGGTCACTTTTCGCATCCCGATGACGTCGCACGGCAGACCAATGCATGCAAATTAAACTCACGTTGCGAACTGCTATGTGGGCGGTTTTGCTGAGCAGTGTGGCTAATTCAGTTAAATAATGGTATCCATCATTGCCAGAGAATTCCTTGTAAGTTTCAATGAGATCTTTTAACGGAATAGCCGATCCCAGGCGAAGCGCGGTCTGCGATAGGCTAAGTTCGTAAAGATCCCGAATGTTTTTCAGGTTTACATATGCGTCGTACGGACCATCATCAAACACTCCTGATAACGTAAATAGCAGATTGCAGCACATCGGCGAAGGCACGTATATATAGTAATTGTAACGATTGTTAAGCTAAATTAGGAGGTTACCTTTGCCGGTATGGCCCACCACGTAGTACACATTATGGCTGGTTAATTGCGGCAGTAAATTATACAAATCGTTCAGGGATGCCGGTGCGTACCAAGGTGGAGCAAAGTCACGTGTTGCTCTGCACTGCTGGCGAACATTATACTGGGTATGGGATTTGTCATTTGTTGCAGCGCGTGCAGTTTTTCGGCACAATGCCACAACTGCGTCGGAATTCTGGACAACGCAATATGGTTTCCTATTATAGCGTTGCGTAGTGTAACAGTTTGTTTACCTCAATGTCGACTACACCGGAGCCGGCTCCTACCGAAGCAAAGGATTTAAACGCGTCGAGAATAGGACGATACCCTAGAAAATGAACAATGCACTAAGTACAGAAATAAATTATTCGCCGAGATGTCATATGTTACCGCTTATATACACAAGGATTATGTCAATCAGGACTAAAGCATCGATGATTAGTTAATTAGTATTATGTACCACAGTCGGTAAAAAGCTAAAGCGGTATTACCGGTACAACGACAAATATTGCCATCGAAAGAATCTTCGACATCACGCTTTGTGAGGTTGCCATTCTGAAGCAGGCTGCAAGTAAAATTAATATGAGTCTCGCTGCAGCTTTAACAGATGCCCAATGCCCATGATATACGATATACTCGTGCTATTAATATCGACAAAAGCTGTAATGAACGATTTCACATGATCCATGCTGTTTGTGTCATTTGTGATTTTAAGAGGCGTTAATAATAATTTTAATTAATAATTTGTATAATTTTAAAAGGCGTAACGAAATAAAATTTTAGTGGGAAATGGCAGTTCGTAAAACGCACACACAATCAATCAAACCTGAATTTGTACCTGTACATATTCATAATCATTCCCGGTGTACAAAATCCACACTGCGTTCCATAATGATCTGTCAGACGACTCTGTATCGGGTGGGGTTTGTTCTGGTTACCAATTCCTTCCACGGTAGTGATTTCCCAGCCATCACACGATAAGATAGGGCATAAACACTAACAATAAACAGAGCAATTTAAATAGGATGATTAAATGGATACTGGCATATACTGCTACAAATTGTACTTATCGTTAGCAGGATTAGCTTCTAATTACGCGTATATGCCAGAACCTAGTGGGAGTAGCTAGCTTTTAGTTGCGCGTATATTGCAGTATCCATTTGCCAAATGTTATTCTTTTTTTATACAATAGCCTCCACGGTAAAGGGTACACCATTTGGCTGGTGCTAAATTAACTGAGCTTAATAAGAATTACCTGTACCATTAGTTCGACAACAAAAACCATTTAATTACTAGCGATCTTTGCTTACAGTTAGTAATTACTTGCAGGACGACTTTACCAGAAATGTCATTACCTTGAGTTACAAAAGACTATCAGTATCATCATTCTACTAATAACTGTACACGCACTGAGTTTTGGGATTCTGGTTCGGGAGTAACTTTTTTAAACAGTAACGCAGCATACGCAGCCCATGTTACATAATGGCATACTTGTTAGTTTCTAGTTTCTGGTAATACCGGACTGACCGAGTTAACTGCCCGTTCTACAAACTGACTTCCGCCAACAGGATCTTTATAAGCCGCATTGACGATACAAACACCTGCAAAAATCTCTTATTTAGAAATTATAAGCCAATCATTCTAGATGTTCTGCTGGCAAAGGAAGTAGGTATATACGTACCACATCCACCCTCTCGACATGTGACCTTTGTTCCCGTTAGCGAAAGATTAATTCGCAAATAGTCATTCAGCGAAACTTCCGAAAAGGTAGTGGGAACTAAAAATTAATCCGAAAATTGCACTACGTACATATTCAATAAAAGTTTTCGGTGTTAATGGTGGAAACGAACTACTTTTGGATAGTCTCGATTCGGTTGCGGACGACTTTTTACAAGCACTGGAAATTTTAACTCAACGTTCGCTTAAAACTGGAAATGAACACTATATTAAAATTATCAAGGAAATTTTAACTCAACGTTTGCTTAAAACTGGGAATGAACACTATATTAAAATTATCAAGTTATCAACATAAAAGTTTTTTCAAGAAAAATCTGTTTCACAAACAAAAAGCGTCAGTCACAAACTGGATAGACATTCCAGGTTGTAAAATATAACATATTCTATAACTTAGAAAGTTCTCATTTATCAATGAATTGACACTTTAACCTTACCATAATACTTTGTCCCGTTGATGGTCACCGCTATTTCTTTGTCTTTATATTCTCTAGCAGCTGGTGGAGTCATTTTGGAATTTTGCTAATGGTTAGCATCTGATGCATTCGGAACAAACGATACTTTAATAACACTCTCGCACAGCTGCTTGTAAAATCTGGCTTTGTGGAAAACCGATACAAGGAAGTTAATCAAAAAGGGTCCGAAGGATTTTTGCCATATGAAAACGTTCAAGTCATGTACGGTGTAGTACGCGAACGCATCAGTACGAGGCGCGAAACATGCATAGCTAGCAATGAAGTGCTACAGTAAACAATAATGGAACTTTATTGTCCTTGCAACCGAGCGGGCCCTCTCTAGGGTTCAGGCAGCGGGAGACATAGGAGTTAACAACAACGAGAAAGTGACATGCAAAAACGAGGGTCATCATGACGGTATGTCAAACAGGAAGGAAACACGCAGTCAAAACAACAGGCGTTAGCCATCATCACATCAAAAAGCAAAAAGGGAATCAGTACTTTTGTTGTGGCTGCGAAAAGTTGGTGTTAATACCTATGTGGAAAGGGAGGAAGAAGTTCAGGGGAGGGGAGGGATACAATAAACGCTAATGTTTCGTTTGCATGTTCACCGGTGAAAAAATTATACAAAGTCAAGAACTATAAATGCGACTTTGATGAAATCTATGTAGTGTGCATAAAAACAATGCTAGCGGCGCATGAGATTTTTTGATCGATGCGCTACCTGATCGACCTCAATATTGCAGTCATTCGCATTAAATGCGGTAAAAAACTGTATGTTGAAGTAATTAAGTCAGCTTACAGTACATTCGACTGACAATCATATATAGTAATCGCCAGATAAGTTGGTACCGGTGTGGCTATACACGTAGTTCATAAGACGATCACAAAACTTTTGTTTTGAACTTCTAAATATGTAGATACGGTAGGAGTGCTGTACAGCAGTATTCTCACTGCCACATGAATTAAATTATTTATACATGTAGTGTGTTATCAACTGACCATATGCATTAAGCTGGCAATAATTACAAGTGAAATTTTATTACTATAATATTTCTTCATACGCAATTATTACTATTACTGTGTTCGCTATGCACAAGGTCACAGTCCAATGAAGCCTCAACAAAAAAATTTTTTTCTTCAGCTAGCTGCGAAGGTATTAACAACGGCTGTGCAGCCGGTTGCCTATATACGAGTACCTCATCCAGAGCTGACCGCTGGCCAATCTCCAAGCGGACGGGCTTAAATTGTGCCGCTAGCCAAAAAGGGGCAGATTCCCTTTTGAGGAATCTTGGCTATAATATTTCTGCGCAGCACAGTCCCTTTGCGGTGGAGATCTATGATCGGGTGATAATGCAGCGATTTTTAAATAACAATGAAACGATTTCACTGGGTTTTTTGGAAGCCGGTCATGGAGTTTCTTTTTTCTAGTGGTGTGAATTTACATTGCTGAATGATGATATCCTGTGCGCTGTCCTAATTACTAGTGCAATTTGTAACAAATTGCACAAACATCTAATTTGCCATGTTCAGATGGATGGTATCAGCGGTTCTTGACTTTTTAAAATAACGTTTTCAGGCAAAATAAAGAACCATGTCACATTGTACACGTGCCATGAAAAAATAGGATGTACAAGTACAAGTAGTCATGCCATACAAAGACACCTGTGTGGACACTGCGCAAGCCGGTAATGCACATACATGAATTGTTTTGTTTAGTAGTCTTTGTATCGCATTTGGGAAATATCAATCTGGGCGTACTGCTGCATTCGCTCCACAGTTAAAGGTGATTCTAAAAACACAGAAGAGCAAATTACGTATTTCTGATAGTAATGTGCAAGCTTTGTTTTGTATAGGCGTCTTACCCATGAAAACCCAAACATCGCCTTTGCCAACTTCCTGCAGTTGGGCATATACTGCATTTCTAAGAGCAAAAATGACGGAAGTGGTCATTAGCAGCGGCGGTTCTCCAACAACTGCAATAATAAAAGTCGTCTTCTCAATATATTGGAAATCATAATAAACGGGTAGTACAGACGAGCCAGCTTCTATACCTTTGCTTCGCAAGACACCGCTAGGATTAGGGGCATTCTGCAGGATAGCAACTCGAAAATCAATGGGAATATCTTTTGTTGTTGGCGGCTTGTACTTCCATGTGCCGTAAGTCAAATTCTCGCCAGTTTTCGGATCAAACAACACTTCTTCCGAAGTCAGATATCCCAGACCCATTATCACTGCACCTTCAACTTGCCCCACATCTGTCAGAAAGAAAACTTGCAATAAATAAATTACGCCCAACACAAATACCGTATGAGCATCGTAGTAGTCTATGCGGTTTACGATTTAACTACAATTAACTTATTTTTATTATTTAGACACTGTACCAACGAGCGGCGACATGGATTCTCCACAATCATACAACAGATCCACACGGTTAATCTGATACTCTCCAGTTAATACGTCAACTTCCACTTCCGTGCACACTGTTATACAAATTTGCCATCAATACTACAATACTATAGTGAAAGTGTTTTTAAATGCGCAAGCACATATTATTTTTTAAATACACCTACTTGTCCCATATGTGTTGTACTGCACGAGTGGAACTACATCCGCAGATTTTGGTGCTGCCCTGAAAATCTTAGTTATCACCTTGAGCTCGATACGTTCTAGGACTTTACTTACCATGCTTGAGCGCAAAGGTTCACTCCACTTCGGAAAGCTTTCTCGACAAGATCTTCCCATTTTGAGTCCGGTGGCATGGAATCTTTTGTTTTCTTCATGTTGGCTTTGATTTGGTTGCAGCAATCAATAGCGGCCTGAAAAGTCGCAAACAGCTTCAGATTTAGATGTGTATAGTAGTATACTTACTACCTAGCAATGTAAATTTTGCGTAGCTGTGTGTTCAGGATTTTAACAAGCGAGAGATACAGCGTGTATGTTTTGTTGCTGCGTCCGTAAAAAATGTGCATTATGCATCAGGAACGTTTTTATGGTGGTAGACTAGATACATACTGAACACTAAAGAAACTTACTGTGTACGCGGTATACAAATAATACTCGTACTTACCAAGCATGCCAATTCGCTGGTAATGGAGTTTCCGGTACAAACGGCATTAGGGTTTGTAATACCCTGGGTCGGCTGGATGTCGATGTATTTCATATCAATCCCCAGTTCATACGCTACGACCTGGGCGACCTAGGAGAATTAATTTTTATAGCAGATCAGCGAACCTAATAGCTCAGTTTTTAATTGTTTCGATTACTGCTCTCATAACCAAACACGCTTGGAGATGTTTGAATCTGGCCGGCATATATGATAATTGGTAAGAAACTTTCGCTCTGATCTAATCCGTCGTATTGTTCTACATCAATATTTTGCTGTTAGAAGCAATTCTTTATACGTATTTAGAAATCTAAAATTCAATGACTCTACTATATTAAATTGCTCTTCCTTTGCAATAATTTGTGTAGACCCGTTGTGCTAGTTTTTGTCCTATCTTAAGCAAGGCCGTCTTCTTGCAGCCAGAACAGTAAACTGGTTCGTTCATATCTGCGTTAATAACTAATTTCATAAAGTTGTTACTTTTGTATTGATGCCTTGTCCAAGCTCAATTCCGCCATGGGTAACCGCAACATAACCGCCGGTGTGATAGACGGATACCAAACAGTTAAAGTATCCCAGATCCCATGCACACGTGTACTTTGTGGGCGAAATTCCCAGACCGCGTTTCCGCCATCGATTAGCTTTGTTGAATTGTTCGACAGCTGTTACGCGAGTTTTATAGTCAGCTGACTCCAATAACTGTAAGGTTATCGGAGCAATCGTGCAATTGGTTAGCGGTGCTCCTATGATAAGAGGGTCACCGTCCTTCAGAAAATTGGCTTGTTTCACCTCAATGGCTGGTTTTTTCACGGCGAAAGCAACGTGCTCGAGAATGGTCTCCGCGAAATGTATTGCTTCGAAACTCCCTATAGACAAGCGTACAAAAGTAACAGAAAGGTCATGTTTTCGTCTGGGCCGTCTTGCCATGATATCTGCATTACCTGGTGCACGCATAAATACATTCGATGGTATGTTTGTTTTGCACTGGAATAGATTGAATTTCCAGTTATCCGATTTATATACTGCGTGAAAATAAAACAGCGGAATTCAGGCAGCTATTCAGTTTAAAGTCAGCTGTTTTGGCAACGAAAACAAAATATACCGTTTTCGGCGAACATGTACAAAAAGGTGATGGCAGGGGATCCAAGATAAGCACCTGTTAAAATGACGAAACAAAACATTATTCATTAAGAGTACCAAGATGCTCCTAAAAAATTTTAAATTTGCAATGTGCACTAAGCTTACCAGTGTTGCAGTAAACGTCACAAGAAACTCCCAGTAGTTTTCCGTTATCATCGAAACCGACATTATATTTTGCGTAATAGGCGTAGCGTTTACCGACGAGCCTCGAATTATCCCATAATGTCATGTGCATTTTCACCGGTCTGCGTGAATAAGTACATTATGAGCTACTGTATGTTTTACGTGTTTTTACCACAACTGTAATAAAAATTCCACCGTACTTTTTCAAAATCCACGCTGCCATTGCACAGGCGCATGCCGAATGGTTATTGCGGTGGATTTTTGCACCAAAGCCGCCACCATTTCTCCGCACCGAAACATTTATCCTAAATTCCAGGTTAAGTAAAAATGATTGCTGTAATTGATACTGTTTCATGGTGTAATCAAAAGCTGAGGGCTTTACATTGAGAAAGAAATTTTAAGAAGTGTAAAAAAAAATAGGTACAGTTAATGTACCTATTTTTTGGTACCCCAGTGACTAAAGCGACACCATCTTGTACGTAATCAATCCACTGAGTGCCGGCATCCAAATCCACACCGTTCTCGGTGGGATAAGCTACAGCAACCTATAAATTCCATTCTAACGTCATAGGCATCATAATATAAATAATTCCATTCTAATATCACATAAATTCCGTTCTAATATCATATCATAGACTTGAAACTTTTAGTTTTTACAGTAAGGATATTTCTGGTTTTAACTTAGCATCTTTATCACAGCTTTAAGTCTCTAATAAAGATCTCCTTGAGAACGGCATGTGGCTCACCATCGTTTCCATGTGGTAGTGTGCCTGATGCCCAAGCGTTAATTCCCCGCTGATTTTGCGTGGAGCACTAGCAATGGCCGCATCCGCATCGCCGACAGTAATTGTTGGGGCACTCTCATAAAAGGAATTTTCCCGTATGGCATCCTGTACGGTAAGTATAGGGTTTCGGACATTACTGTACTCGATCACAACCAGTTTTGCCCCCGCTTCGGCAATATCCCGAGTAACTAAAATCGAATTGTACAGGCTCATAAATTTTTGCATGACTTTTATCTCCTCTCATTTAAATTACGACTGCTTACCGTTTTTAGCAATCTGAATCAAATTAATATTACTATTACCTGCAACTACGATTGCGACTGGCTGTCCTGCGTATAAAGACTGTCGAATGACCAGTAGTTCCTCAGGAGGAGTCGGATAACTTGGATCATTCTGCGGAAATATGTTGTTCACACCAGGGATATCGGGTGCGGTAAAAACTCGAACAACCCCCGGTAAAGCCTGTGTTTTGCAACAGAACGTCAATTTTCAAGATGAACCTGGTAAGTACATAATTATTGTGTATTGTACACAATCCGGTACGTAATATTCTAACCAAAGCTGGAGCTGTGTCAATGCGGTAAACGGTGGCGTTAGCTTGCGTAGTCAACACGAACGCCGCATGCAGAAGATCATTTCGTTCAATATCCGCAATGAATTTCGCTTCGCCAGTGCACTGAACCATGGACTCGATTTTGGGAATGGGTTGCGTCAGAGGCCAGTTTTCCTTTTTCGTCGGATACGACTGGGTGCCGCTGGAAAGAGGGCGTTCCAGTCTTAAACTACTTGTTGCGCTGTGATAGCGTGGATCCGCAAAATCTCCAACAATGGTCAATGCAAACTGCAATTTATTGTTTGACGGGATTGTGATTTTAAAATTTCAGTATTTGTCTAGTAGAATTTAGTTTGACGATTCCAGCTTGCCTTATAAAATAAAGATAAGCATATCGATCGTCTGGCTTCCGGGCGGGCTTCGGACGGGTCGGTTGTCGGGTTGACTTCTTTATTCAGAATCTGCAGTGCCTGCTGCAGAACATTCACGTCTCCAAGATTTTTTCCAGCTAAAAAGGTTTCCGTTTGCGCCGCGTGTACCTAATCAATGATGAAACACAATATTCTGCGTGACTACCAATCTTCATCCAGATGAGACACGTACAAAATTTGCTGCAATATTTCCAAAGATAAGACAAGGTTTTTCTGTAATCACATATCCTTGGCTTTTATCAACTTTTGCTCGAAAAGCCGCGTTGACGATGGCATGTGCATTCTGTAGGAATGATGAAACTAGTCACACAACCAACAGAAGAGCTGCTGTTGGCATCTTTTTACCTGAGACCTCGGCATTACTTTATACGTTTTAAAATAATAATCGTTTCCAAAGGCAGGCAATTCTGCGCGCAGAATGACGTTTCCTTTCAAGTCCGAATTTAGAAAATCATCAGCCGAAAGAGCCTTGTTATCTGGCCCTAAAGCCGATGTGAGGAAATCACAAAATTTACGGTTTTGGGCTATTTCATTTACCATAAAATAAAACTTTGCAGAAACAACGTGACAGACCTGTGTAAATGATAGCATTGGACACGGCCATAGTGAGAAACGTTTCTGATGGGAATTCTTTGTGTCGGTTCTTCATGGCCATATTCCCGCCCCACGACCCGACCTAAAAGGTCACTTTCGCATTCCGAATTTCCGATAAGGTTATATTTTATTATTAGCAGGGCAAAACAATGCATGCAAATTATACTCACATTACGAACTGCTATGTGGGCGGTTTTGCTGAGCAGTGTGGCTAATTCCGTTAAATAATGGTATCCATCGTTGCCAGCGAATTCCTTGTAAGTTTCGATGAGATCTTTTAACGGAATAGCCGATCCCAGACGAAGCGCGGTTTGCGACAGGCTAAGTTCGTAAAGGTCCCGGATGTTTTTCAGGTTTACATATGCGTCGTACGGACCATCGTCGTACACTCCTGATAACGGCGATAGAAGTAATTCTTCGGCGAGGTCAAAAAGTGCAGTGGTCAAAACGTTTGTCAGATATGTAAAGTACCTTTGCCAGTGTGGCCCACCACGTAGTAGACATTCTGACTGGTCAGCTGAGGTAGCAGTTTATACAAGTCGTTCAGTGTTGCCGGTGCGTACCACGGCGGGGCAAAGTCGCGGGTTGCTTTGCACTGCTGGCGAACGTAATACTCGGCACGGGATTTGTCGTTCGTCGCAGTGTGTGCGAATTTTCGGCACAACGCCACAACTGCGTCCGAATTCTGGACAACTCAATACAGTTTTTTTTTGTAATACTGTTGTATAGCTAGAACTAGTGCTACCTCAATGTCGACAACACCGGAGCTCACTCCCATCGAAGCGAAGGACTTAAACGCATCGAGAATAGGACGATACCCTAGAAAACGCGATGCACTGAGTGCAGTGGTAAATCATTTAACGAAATGGCGCACACTTTACGTTACCACCGGCAACGATTGTGTCTATAACGACTAATCAATATTAATTAAGGTGTGTTATTACCGGTACAGCGACAAATATTGCCATCGAAAGAATCTTCGACATCACGCTTTGTAAGGCTGCCATTCTGCAGAAGGCTGCAAATAATGTTAATATTACTGCGATATGTACTGCTAATATCGACAAACACGGGAATAAATGTGTTCATAAGACACGTCTGCGTAGTCCCTATGCGTAGCCTCAAAGGTCCGACAAAGTTGAAATTATGCCAGCAAATTCATAATAAGTACTTGAACGCAACAGGTAAAATGTAATTTCAGTATACAGTACCTGTACATATTCATAATCATTCCCGGTGTGCAAAAGCCACATTGCGTTCCATAGTGATCCGTCAGCCGACTTTGCAGCGGATGTGGTTTGTTCTGGTTACCAATCCCTTCCACGGTAGTGATTTCCCAACCATCACACGATAAGATAGGGCATAAACACTGAATAAAAATTTTGAAATAAAGACTACGAGGACAACCAGGTGCTGTGAACACCCCCTTCACGATTGGGCTGCGATGAACAGCCGGCTAAATTTAAGCCGTTTGCATTTAGACTGCGACGACAGTAGCGTTGCGAGCTACGGCTAACCGGCTGTTCATCGCAGCCCAATCGTGAAGGGGGTGTTCAGTTCACAGCATCCAATTGTCCTCGCAGCATTTATTCGGTTATTGTACCCTGCTGCCAAAGCTTATCAAAACAGTAATATTATTAAGCAGTTATCCTTTAGTAGGCTTTTTAAAGCATATATTTTGATTCAGATTGGAAAAATCAGCACTTGCTGGAAATTTGGAAAGCATAGTATTAAAAGTATTTTACATTTAGTTTACTACTGATTTATTTATTAAAATTATTTCACATTTCACACTGCTGATTTATTCTTCAGAGCTATTATGAAAACATATACGCTTTATATATACAAATTTTTTTAGGCGACATAGTTTCTAGTCTGAGATTCGTCAATGCAAAAAGTGTTTGGAAAAATTTTTACTGAAAGCGGCACATGATTGTACCGATGATGTCCATTTGGCGATAAGAATAAAAATCGATGTACTTATTGGCTATGGTAAACTCACAGAATTCACTGCTCGTTCAACAAACTGACTTCCGCCAACGGGATCTTTGTAAGCCGCATTAACGATACAGACACCTATAAAGAATAAATTTTGCTAAACGAAACCGATGCAGATAATTTTATGCAAAATAAAGTGCGTACCACACCCGCCCTCTCGGCATGTGACCTTGGTTCCCGTCAGCGAAAGGTTGATTCGCAGATAGTCATTCAACGAAACTTCCGAAAACGTGGTAGGAACTAAAATTTAATGGATAATTTAAATATATTCACAGTTTATTAATGACCAACAAACATTATTTGGCGCCTACAATTATTAAAGTGGAATACGTAAAATCCGAATACAAGCACCATAAAGAATTAAGGTTTCATAATGAACTTACAGATTTCCAGGAATGGCCTATCCTCATCATGCTTTAATTAGTTTACGGAGATATCGGCTTGCTTAATTTATACAACCGGAACTGTTTTTTACTCTCATCAAGGCTTTAATTCGTAATGAAGGTTCTTTTTTGGTCGGAAGAAATTAAATCAACGTTTTGCTAACTAATTCTGGTTTCATTCACGAGTTACCAACGTATCAGCATACCGTAATATTTTGTCCCGTTGATGGTCACCACTATTTCTTTGTCTTTGTAATCTTTAACAGCTGGTGGAGTCATTTTTGAATTTGACTAGTATTTTCCTGAACTCGAAATAAATAGTTCATTTATAAGCTGAGGACATGGCACGATATAATGTTAGCGAGATTACGAAAATTTCCACAACTCACAAGGTTTGACCTTTAAGGCGGTGTTCTGCTGGCCGGTGCCGTGCGCTGGCTGCGTCTTATAAATCCGTATAAATTAAGGTTTTCAATAATTTTAATAGGCAATGGCCATTCCCATAGATATAAGTGCACAACGCTGAGATACTACTTAGGGTTTTCTAATTGTAAGCCCAAGCGTTAGCTAGTAAAACTGCGAGTCAGAAAGATAATAAAAACCGTTGTTCACAACACATCGGGTACAAGCCACATGAACGAGGCATCAGTGTGAGCTGCAGTATCTTACAAAGGTACTAGCGACTTGAGACTTTGAGCACCACAATGACGACAAACTGTCACAACAAAGCTTAGCGATGGTATGACACTTCAATGAACCAAGTGTTTACTATGTGGTAGAAAACGTCAAAAGTAATATGTGAGACAAAAAACCTTATGGTATCCAATATGAAAAAAATTAATATAGTACACGAACACTCTGCTAGAGGCACAAGAAATCGTTACAATCCAATATGTACTGCATTATCGACCTAAATGTTGCTACAGTGCATGCTTAAAAGCGAAAAAAACCGTGGGCTTAATTCTCTTTTGACCTAATTATTGTCACACTACGCGGTAATGTACATGCCATCAAATAAAGAAAGTTTTTCAGACTTATGAAAATATTAAGGCAGGGTTAAAATGTAATTGATTTATTGCTGACACTCTTATTTTTCCTTAATGCTGTACATCTCGAATGCGTCGAATATAAACCTCAACCGGAAAAGTTGCAGTTTTCAACTGCAGTTTTTCGCCGTTCCAGTACTAGTTAAATCCATTTAATAAAAATGACACATTCGGCCTGAAAAGCGTTTTAAGTACATCAAAGAAAACAGAAAGAATATTGTTAAATTAGCGTTTTCCGTGCAGTCCACAGCCGCTGCGAGCTCGTTATGGTCATTAGTCCTTGTAGCGCATTTGGGAGACATCTGTTTGGGCGTACTGCTGCACTCTTTCCACCGTTAATGGAGATTCTGTGGATCATTCAAAAAATACTCGTAGGTCATACCACCCATAATATTATATAGTTGAGTATATTGCGTTGTTCGACAAAGTTTACCAACTGTAATTATTAAAGGCTCACCCATTGATATCCAGGTGTTTCCTTTTCCGGCTTCCTGCAGTTGTGCGTAGATGGCGTTTCGAAGAGCAAAAAGTACTGACGTTGTCATGCATAATGGTGGTTCTCCCACAACTATCGATCAGAACCACCAAATGTTATTAACAATTCTGTACAAGAAATTCGAACACGGTTATATTCCACAATTTTTGCTATTACTTTTACTGCGCAGAACGCCATACGGGTTGGAAGCATTTTGCAGGATAGCGATACGAAAATCAATCGGTATGTCCTTCGTCGTTGGAGGTTTATACTTCCATGTTCCATAAGTCAGATTTTCTCCGGTTTTTGGATCGAACAGCACTTCTTCCGAAGTATAATATCCCAAACCCATCATCACTGCGCCTTCAATTTGTCCCACATCTGTAGCAGAATTAAATGTTATTTTTCAATTGGATAAAAACAACTTTAGCCATGGTTTTACATTTAATACACTTGTCAATGTTTACAACTACATATTTAGGCGCTTTGCGTAGGCAACCGTCATTCAAATTAGTGACCAAATGACATGTACAGCTATAACTGCTTACCGACCAGTGGCGACATCGATTCCCCGCAATCATACAGAATGTCAATTCGATTAATCTGGTACTCTCCAGTCAAAATATCAACCTCCACTTCAGTGCACACTAAGATGGACAATACATGCCGTGTAACGTTCAATTCCAGCTTTCCTAAAGGGCTATAGCAATCTCACAATATGTAGTGCTTACTAGTGCCGTACGTGTTGTACACCACAGGCTTTCTACCTTCGGCTTTTGGTGCTGCCCTGCACAAAATTCAACAAAAAAATGTTAAATGTAAGTAGCTATTATTACTCAGCAGTTTAGTACTCAAACTAAACTTTTCCCACAAGTATACCATGCTTGCGCGCTCAGGTTTGCGCCTGCTAAGAAAGCCTTCTCGACAACATCCTCCCATTTCGAGTTCGCCGGCATGGTATCCCTGGTGGCCTGCATACTTGTCTTTATTTGGTTGCAGCATTGAATAGCTGCCTAAAAAACAATATTTATTAAGATTTACTCTACAACTACCGCCAAATAGACGAAATCTCAATAGAATCAATCTAATAATTTATTTTGCATTCGCAGGTTTCTTAAAAAATTGGCGGTTTGCAGATATTACCAACAACACTGAATTTATTTGACTCGTTTGGATATTGAGATCTTACGCAACGTACCAAGCAGGCCAATTCGCTGGTAATTGAGGCACCCGTGCAGACGGCGTTAGCGTTTGTTATGGCTTGGGTTGGCTGAATTTCCACATATTTTATATCAATGCCCAGTTCATACGCCACCACCTGAGCAACCTACAAAACTAATTTGTTTAGTCAAATTTTACTAAAAGTTAAATGTAATAAACCTTAACGGCTTTACCTGATTTATAAAGAAGCACCAAGAATTTTGCATACCTTAGTATTAATTCCTTGGCCAATCTCGATACCACCGTGTGTTACCGCTACGTAACCACCAGTATGATACACCGCTACGAGACAGTTAAAGTATCCCAGGTCGTACGAGCAGGGATACCGAATCGGCGAGACGGCCAGACCTCGTTTCCGCCACCGATTACTTTTATTGAACTGGTCAACAGCGGTCACACGGCTGTTATATTCGGCTGAATCCAGTAGCTGCGACGTGATCGGAGCAATTGTGCATTTATCTAAAGTTGTTCCAACCAATAGTTTGTCACCGTCTTTGTAAAAATTGGCTCGTTTAACATCAATTGCCGGCTTTTTCAAAGCGAAGGCCACATGTTCCATCATGGTTTCGATAAAATGGATTGCTTCGGTGCTGGCTAAATTATACAAACTCTCAAAGACAATACATACGTAAAAACATTTTGCTCAACATGTGATGAAAGGTTTCCAAAGTTTACCTGGTGCACGAGCGAATGTGTTGGAGGGTATATTTGTTTTACACAAAAACAAATTGAATTTCCAGTTGTCCGATTTGTACACTTGAAAAGACGTTGCATTTGAGACAGATATCTTTGTGACAAAGGCTAGAATTACCGTTATCCCCGTAAATCGACCAAAAACCAATTGCAGGACAACCGAAATAACCTCCCTGAAAAACAAACAAAAAAATTCTGAGGATAATTTGTGTTTAGTCGTGATTATGAATGCACTGACCGACATTAATGTAGACGTCACAGGATACACCCAGTAATTTCCCATCGTCATCGAAACCAACGTTGTACTTTCCATAATATGCAAATCGTTTGCCAACGAGCCGTGAATTGTCCCACAAACTCATATGCATTTTTACGGGTCTAAAAAAGCACTGATTATGATTGAGTGATGATTTCAGAAAATATAGTACAGGAATTCGACTGACCTTTTCAAAATGACTGCCGCCATAGCACATGCACAAGAAATATGATTGTTGCGATGGATTTTTGCACCATACCCACCGCCATTCCGTCGCACCGTTACATTTATTCTAAGTAGAGAGGACAGGAATCAGTAAAATATTGAAATAAATTGTTTTAAGTACGATATGAACGGATACCTATGCTTATGTATGCCTGTCACGTTAGCGACACCATCCTGTACATAGTCAATCCACTGCGTTCCAGCGTCCAAGTCCACACCATTCTCAGTGGGATATGCAACCGAAACCTACAAACATAAAATCCTTACGCTAATTACCGATTGGTGTGAAGTTGTGACCTTTAATGATACCATCGTTTCCATGTGGTAATGGGTCTGGTGTCCAATTTGAATTTCTCCGGTAATTTTATGCGGTGCTTTGGCAATGGCAGCATCCGCATCGCCCACAATCACCGCAGGAGCACTCGGATAAAAGGAGTTCTGTCGAATCGCATCTTGACAGGTAAGGATCGGTACGCGGACGTTGCTGTAATCGATCCGAACAAGCTTCGCTCCCGCTTCCGCGAGTTCTTTCGTTTCTGTAATCACAACACTGACAATGAGCTTAATTAACCACACATACTAAAACTTTACAGTGAGTAAATACGTGCCTGCCACGACGATGGCAACCGGCTGTCCGGCATAGAAAGACTGACGAACAGCTAAAAATTCTTCCGCGGTCGTCGGATAGCTGGGGTCGTTTAGAGGGAATATGTTATTCGCACCGGGAATATCGGATGCCGTAAAAACTCGCACAACACCCGGAAGTGCCTATTGACACACAACGGTCATCTTCACTGTTGCCTATCAAGAATTTTATGAAATGTGTAACTGATTCTTACCAATGCCGGAGCAGCATCAATCCGGAAAATGGTAGCATTAGCCTGCGTAGTGAGGACAAAAGCGGCATGCAGCATTCCTTCTTGTTCAATGTCCGCAATGAACTTCGCTTCGCCGGTGCACTGGATCATGGATTCAATCTTGGGAATCGGCTGCGTCAGTGGCCAATTCCCTGGTTTTGTAGGATACGATTGCGACCCGCTGGATACCGGTCGCTCTAATCGTAAACTGGCAATAGCACTGCGATACCGTTCATCAGCATAATCACCCACAATCATCAAAGCAAACTACAAATTTTTAAAAAATTAAGTGTAATCTGCGAAAACTCACATGTTTCACTGCATATACCTTGTAAAGTAGCGACAGACAGATTGATCTTTTGTTTTCCGGCATAGCTTCCGATGGATCCACGACCGGATTGACCTCTTTGCTCAGTATTTGCAATGCTTGGTGCAACACATTCACATCCCCAATGTCCTTCCCCACAAGAAAACCTTCCGTTTGTGTAGCATGAACCTAATTTGGGTGACGATTACTTTATACCGAAAAGTTTTCTAAGTAATGGAATCCTTACAAAGGTTGTCGCAATATTGCCGAACAATATGCAAGGTTTCTCGGAAATTACAAAATTTCCTTGTGCCTTGTCGATCTTTGCCCGAAAAGCAGCATTTACAATGGCATGCGCGTTCTAAATAAAATGACAGAGTCGTCCAAATGAAATGTGGAATCTGTTTTGTAAACAGAAATATTTGTACCTGAGATCGTGGCATAATCTTGTAAGTTTTGAAGTAATAGTCATTCCCAAAAGCTGGCAGTTCTGCCCGCAAGATGATTTTTCCTTTTAAATCAGCATTTACGAAATCTTCGCCTTTATAGCTTTTGTTGTCCGGTCCTAAAAGAGAACCAAAAACCAAATAAAGCAACGCCGTCTACGAGTTCTGGAATCAAACACACTACACCATTCATAAAATGTCTTTATATAATTATACTCTGGAGTTGCCAAATAAGGTCGAAACTGAAAATCAGGATTGCACTAGTACCGGTAAATATGGTGGCATTGGAAACAACCACTGTAAGAAATGTCTCCGAAGGAAATTCTTTATGACGGTTTTTCATGGCTATATTCCCACCCCATGAGCCAACCTATACGGTCCCTAACTTCTGTTACATGAATAGCAAAATGTATCTGTATGATTTTACTAACGTTGCGAACGGCCACATGGGCCGTTTTGCTGAGTAGCGCGGCTAGTTCCGACAAATAATGGTATCCATCATTGACCGACAGTTCTTTGTAAGTCTCAATAACATCCCTCAACGGTATGGCGGATCCAAAACGAAATGTATCCTCCGTGAAGCTGATTTCATATAGATCAGGAATTTTCTTTAGGTCGATATATGCATCGTAGGGTCCATCATCATATACACCTGGTATATGATATTTTCTGAGATGCCTTCCAATTCAGTACGTCTGATCAACCGAATGTTACCTTTGCCAGTATGCCCAACGACATAGTAAACATTTTGACCAGTCACCTGCGGCAGCAGATCGTACAGCTCTTTGAGCGTTGTCGGAGCGTACCATGGTGGAGCGAAGTCTTTTACGGCGTTGCACAAAGGTCGCACGTAGTGATGACCTTTGAAGCTATTAGTCGAACAGGCATTCCCAAGCTTCCGGCACAACGCGACAACCGCATCGGAATTCTGCGTCAAGTAACCGGCTAATTTATCTGTTTGTTGTATTAGCAATAAGCTATGAGGTTACACACTTCGATATCAGGAATTCCCGAACCGGCATCCGCGGAAGCAAACGATTTGAAAGCATCCAAAATGGGCCGGTACCCTGCAAATGCAATCACTTAAAATAGGACGCAGTTACCTTATATAATACCAATCGCGCACCAAAATGGAACAATTTACGGTACAGGGTGTCATTTATATATAATGTATATTCCGTACCCGTGCAGCGACAGATGTTTCCGTCGAACGAGTTTTCCACATCTTGTTGTCGCAGATTACCGTTTTGTAACAGACTGTAACAACATAGCGAATGGTACTACTTGTATAGGTAACGCTCGAGTCTTCAGACACGTACACCCGTTAGATCCAGACGTACACACTTACAAGCTCATATAAAAAATGCAGCATTTTGAATACTGAGTGGTTAACAAAACTTGCTCTTCAAATGTTTTCCAGTTGAAACACCAAACGATCCCTCAGAAGTACAGTGCAACGAATTCCGAATTGTGCACCCTGGTGAAAGCCTCTTTTTCTTACCGGTTAACAGTGCATCTGTATCTGTATTCAACTTCTTGGTGAAAGGGCCCTTACCGGATATGAACGAGCGTTACACATCAATCACGTAAAATGAATAACGCACGAGTGGTACCGCACATGCCTCTGTTTCTCCACCAGCAAGGAAGACAGCAGCAGATTCATACGCTGCAGCTGCGAAACGTCAACCCCGTATGATTCGTGGAACGATGGCGACCGATACGACGACCGAAAAACCTCGAAGTGAACTGGTCAAAACGCTGCAGTGCAATCGCAAGCCCCATGCGGATTTCTGTGTGCGTGGCATCCCACGTTGGAAACTCTGTTTAAAACCGCCAAAGAATACAATCAATTTCTCGCCGCCCAGCTGAACGAAAATGGAATCCAAACACGATTTGTAAGTGTTTTTATACCGCCGGATGGAGACAAGCGAACATCCACTTTTGCACGCATTGGGACATTTAAAGACATGTCTGAAAGAATTCTGGACCCTGAAATCTGGCCGTCCAATGTTTTTGTTAGGGAATGGATTTACTGAATCCTGTTTCTCTCGCTGATGCGCAATCCTGAAGTGTATGTTATTTTGTTGACAGTATTTGCCCAATGTGTAGTTTTTCTGACGAGTGAATGCTTGCTGTGCTTTACTCTGTACTTGCATTATTGTGGAGGGACTACTTTTCCGCTGAAGTTTTTAATTGACCGTGTCTGCAAATCTCGATAAGGAGTGATTCCTTGTATTTGCAGACGTTAAGCATTAAAACCAAAACCAAACCAATAATGTTTTACAGTAAAATGTTTTACAGTAAAATTACGCCGGTGCGATGCAAAGGCATGCAGAGACTCTTCAAGCATTTAAACAAAACGCAAAATTCTGATGCGGAATTAATTTTTTAGAATAAAAAGCAATCGGCTATGAGATAAAGCAACTGCAAGAAAAGTAAGATTACTTACTTTTGCATAATTATTACAAAAAGGGCAAAGTCACGCTTGTTACCTGTACATGTTCATGACCATTCCCGGTGTGCAAAATCCACACTGGGTGCCATAGTGCTCGGTTAATCGGCTCTGGATCAGATGGGGCTTGCTTTGATTGCCAATACCCTCCACTGTAGTGATTTCCCAGCCATCGCATGACAAGATGGGACACAAACACTGCAAAGGGCATTCGATGTTTTACCATGCATATCAGTTCTACGCATAAAAAAACCCTCTCTTTAAAACCAAATAGCAGTCCGGATATCGGATAGTGCATTATGGTTTAGTATGCAATACAAAAAAACAAAAAAAGCTGTTTCCATAACTGACAGGATAAAGGAAGGTGAGATGTACGGAAAGGTCACCCAGCGCAGTGGAATCACATGAGTATACTCGGCATCAGTAGCCAGTTTTGCTAGGTTGAAAGTGGTTAAAGTGAACTTACTGAGTTCACAGAGCGTTCAACAAACTGACTCCCTCCAACTGGATCTTTGTGCGCCACATTTACAATGCAAACGCCTAAAGAGGGGTTTTTTCATTTTAACTATACTTCCCAATCCGAACGGGCAATATGCAGCTATAAAACATTTCGAAAGTAATTTACCACATCCTCCTTCTCGACACATAACCTTAGTTCCCGTCAGTAAAAGATGTGAGCGAAGGAAATCATTTAACGAGACTTCCGAAAAGGTGGTCGGAACTATAAAAATCACATATATTACTGTATAACGCCTAATTTGCATAAAGTCATTAATGAGTAATACCTACCATAGTACTGTGTTCCGTTGATGGTCACCACAATCTGCTGATCGTTCAACTCCTTAACAGTTGGCGGTGTCATTTGTGCGGTCAATCACATGCAATCGAATGCAAATTTTTGCTGCTCGCAATGTTACGAAAAAAGACTTCTGAATGCAGAACCACTTGACCTTTCAATGTCAAAATGTTGCTCTTACTTAGAAACTGACAAGATATGCAAGACCGTAAAGATACGGAACGACAATAAGCTCTTTCGAAATATGTCGTTGAAGGTATACATCTATTGAAAACGAAGTAGCGTAATGAAAACAAGGTGTTAATCGATTGCTTTTGAGAGAATCGCTGAGTGGTGATTGGAAACATGTACTAAAGAAGCAACATCTAGTCATGCGTGACGATTTTATAAAAGGTTTCTTATTGATTAAAATGGCAAGAAATTATGTCACTTATTTAAATAACACAAAGGGCAAGTTTGATCAATGTGTTAAATGGTCAAATTTGTTTCGCTTGGAAGGTGTTGAGAAATGTTGAGCCTTTCAGTAAACGTAGTTAACCGCATCTAAGAAAATGCTGATTACTATAATCCGCACACATTAAAAACGCACATAAATTAGTACCAGAATAAGAGACCTACGGTAATTATCCTTTAATATCTAATTATCATTAACTGTCTTGAGATTCTCATCCTAATTTCATGTCCATCTGGGCTGTTCAGCGACTCCGAAAAGGGCATCGCTACTTCTGTTTTTATTACGCGGTCAATCTAACCGCATCGCTGACAAAGCTTGGAAAAGATAAAAAGCCGAGAAAGGCATATTTTGTACAGATCGCAGGGTGCTGACAGCCTAATCGACCCAGTAAGAACCAAAAGACATTTAATATTATCAAGATGCTCAATAAGATGACTATGAAACGATGATTAAGCGCTTTTCCCGCAAATTGCATCATGATAAAAAAATTTTACACGCAGAACTGTGAACCGGATTAAGCAAAAATAAATAAATAATCCAGTTAACCTTCGAAAATAATTTGCATGCAAGCTCGTTATGCTGCATCCCAACAATATGAAGTTATTAAGGATGATCATGCAGGCCAATGGGAACTTCGTGAGATACAGCAGTACGGAATGAAAAAGTTACACAAAATATGTATCTCTAGGTCGCCACTAGGACGCAACCGAAATGTTACAAGGAAGGAAGCACTGATGCGCCTAATGGTAATAAATATCAAAATACAAGGTAAAGCACAAACAATTTGCGTTGAACATGGTGTTAGGTGTGATTCCGCACTGCTTAATTAGGTGAAAGCGGTTATTTTTTAAGTAGCATTTGTTCGTTCTCAATCCTGCAGTACTGCTGTGTTCTTTCAACAGTAACAGGAGCATCTACGAAAGAACAGTAAAAATATCTGTAAATCAAATTCGATATTTTTGTGTGGGATAAATATAGCACACGTACCAATGCGGAACCAGTCGTCCTTTTGAGTTTCATTCAGATGAGCGAATATAGCGTTTTGCAGAGCAAACACGACAGATGCCGACATACACAGTGGCGGCTCCGCAACAACTGCAAAACCGATAACCATGGAGCGAGCTTGCAAAAACACGAAACCGTTGTCTTTGTAGTAGCTTACTTTTGCTCCGTAAAACACCACTAGGGTTTGGAGCGTTTTTCAACATGGTGATCCGGAAGTCCACAGGAATATCTTTTGTCGTTGGAGGTTTGTATTTCCATGTGCCAAAGGTCAGATTGCTCCCAGTTTTCTTGTCAAAGATAATCTCTTCCGAAGTGAAGTAGCCTAGTCCCATAATGACCGCGCCTTCGATTTGACCAACGTCTGAAAAATTAATAAGCAAAACTAAGACTACTTGAGTATGTGGCAGATTATTAGATTTTATAAAAAATCTCTAAACAGTTTCACGCCTTCAAAAAATAAGGTCCTTTTTTACCTATCAATGGCGACATGCTTTCACCACAATCATAAAGCACATCAAGGCGGTTAATTTGATATTGGCCGGTTAAACCATCCAGTTCCACTTCCGTACACACTGGAAAAACCAGAGACTATTAATAATCAAGGCACAGCGATACTCCGTAAATTCTTACTAGCTCCGTAGGTGTTGTAAACTGTCGGTCCAGGCGGATGAGGAGCAGCCCTGGAATCATATTAAATAAAATAAACCGAATCCTTTCTTTGATTAGCCGTTTTCTTTTTACTGACAATTTACGATTACGGACAAAAAATGAAAACCGTTTTATATAAAACTGCAAAAGATACAAGTTACCAAATAACTGTGACGACGACTTTGAAAGTAAGCAGATCATTAGGGCACAAAATATCTTTCGGAATGCAATGGTTTTTATTATTAAACACATTACAGTGCTCGGGCGGTCAGGTCGACTCCCCGGGAGTTGCACTCTTCCACCAGCTGTTCCCAAGTTGGAGACTTCATAGAATCTTTTACCGGCTTCATCAAAGCTTTTAGTTGATCGCAGCAACTAATCGCAGCCTAAGATCAATTTGCGTGTTGCAGTTTTGTTTCCATTCGCAGAATATCGAGATTTTAATGGAGCTGCAAAAAGCACGAGACATGTTATTTAACAAAAGAATTACCATGCAGGCTATCTCGCTTGTAATGCTGCCGCCAGTCGGTGTTCCGTTGGCGTCCGTAAGGGATGCATTAGCCTTAATCGCGATATACTTCATATCGATGCCGAGCTCGTAAGCAACAACTTGCGCCACCTGAAAATGACAGATTTTGAATTATTAACGAATACGCCAAACAGGTGGTTATGCACTGCAAACACGTCACAAAAAATTAAAAGAATTTCGCCAATACACAGAATTTGTCATATCCAAAAGGCATTTGTCCTGCTTATTCAGGTTAATCACGGCTAACAACAATAATTATTTTTCGAACAACGCAGTATCGCGATGACCTTACTTTAGTGTTTATGCCTTGTCCAATTTCCACTCCGCCGTGCGTTACTGCAACTGTACCGTCCCCGTGGTACACAGCTAGCAGACAATTGATCTGTCGACGTGCCCAAGAGCACGAGTAACGCATGGGAACCACGTTAATTCCTCGTTTCCGCCAGCGGTTCTCCTTATTAAATTGCTTAACAGTATTTAAACGTTCACTGTATGACGATGTCTGCAAGAGCTGCTCCGTAATAGCTTTTATGTTGCAGTCTTTAATTGTGGAACCGTCCAACAGCTTATCGCCATTTTTCACGAAATTCAGCATTTTCACTTCGATGGATGGCTTTTGTAGCACTTTCGATATATGCTCCATCATATATTCGATAAAATATATTGCTTCCGTACTCCCTTCACAAAATTAAATTATTAAAATTAATATTTTCGATTACATTTATGGCACAGGAACAGATCAGCTCGTCAGCTGGTCTTGCTTAATAAATTAAATCCATGTTTTGTAATAAGCACTATTGTGTTACGTGGTTGAGAATACAAACCTGGAGCTCGACATGCGGTGTTCGGCGCAACATTCGTTTTGCAGTTAAAAAGGTTGAACTTCCATGCGGAGCAGAAATAAGCTGCAACACATTATATTATTTTACATCCCAGTATAACATTAATCATTCCATACGGTCGAGAAAATACTTTTTACCATTATCTCCTCTCGCTTTCCATCCCCCGATTGCAGCTCCGGCATTAAAAGCGCCTAAAGAGTTACAGTTTATTTATACAAAACCTTCGGAAACCACAGAATGTCAGAATGCCTTACCGGTATTGCTGTATACATCACAAATAACGCTTAGCAATTTCCCCGTTTTATCGAAACCAACTTGATATTTTCCGTAATACGGAAATCTTTTTCCGATAGTTCGGGAATTATCCCAGAGGCTCATATGCATCTTGACAGGTCTACAAAAATAGTAGGTGATCAAGTATTCCAGAGAAGGGTATTACTGTAATCATTCTTACTTCTTCAGCAAAAACGCCGCAACCGCTGTAGCAGCCGATATATGGTTAGTGCGGAAAATTTTGGCGCCGAATCCTCCTCCACATCGCTTGACGGAAATATTAACCCTAAAACCAGGAACTCATAAAGCTGATTAACTTCGGAGAAACTACATGCTTCTCTTACTTATGCTTTTTAATCGCTAAGCATTGTGATACGGCGGTTTGCACACCATCAATCCATTGCGTACCAACGTCCAAGCTGACACCGTCTTCTTCTGGATAAGCTACCGAAACCTTTACGCACAATAGAAAGCCTTTGTTTTAGTTTGAAACTTTGAACAACAACGTATTATTTATCAACATATCTTGCATATATTTTCTAACAAATATTTTCATATCCTAGTATTACTGTCAATACGTAATCAAAACTAGCTGCAGCTTTTTTTAACTTTAATTTTTACGTTTATGGAAGATTTAAGCGAAATTATCTGACTACAGCCAGATTTTGCATTATTAAGGCAATTGTACCATGGTTTCCATGTGATAATGTGCTTGAGCACCAATCTCCAGTTCGCCATTGATCTTATTCGGCGCCTGCGCTAGCGCTTTATCCGGATCGCCTACTATGATGCTTTGCATTTGACCATGAAATGATTTCTGGCTTATGGCGTCTTGACAGGAAAGGATGGGGGTTTTCACGTTGCTGTAGGTGACCTTGACCAACTTTGCTCCCGCTTCCGCTACCGCTTTAGTATCTGCGCATGTTCGCCACTTATAGGTCACACATCAATACAGTAATTATCGTGCTGTGTGATGACTGATTACGATCCACCTTACCTGCAACCACCAGCGCCACTGGTTGTCCCGCATAGGAACTCTGTTTGGAGGCAAACAGTTCTTCTGGATCGGTGGGCCCCAGAGTTGCGGGTGGGCTGACGTTATTTTTGCCAGGAATATCCGCGGCTGTGAAAACTTGCCGAACGCCGGACAGTGCCTACATAAACCGCTACCATTATATGTAATTTTAAGGAAATAATAAAACGACTTAATTATTCAGGAGCAACTATTTCCTACAAATAAAAACCTTATCAGAATAAACCAAATTTCATAATAACTGATAAGATATACAAATACAATTCGCCATTAGACATCTACTGGAACTATAATTATGTGGCTAATGCTTATGCTTAACCGTAAATGATAGCCATACAATTATCTATAGCACTATGGTACTGCTGGTAGTGCGTACCAAGGCAGACGCTGTGTCCACGCGAAAAATAGTGGCATTGGCTGTTGTTGTCAATACAAAAGCGGCATGGAGAATATGACTTCCAAAAGCGTCACTGATGTACTTGGCTTCACCGGTACACTGCGCTAGGGACTCTATCTTGGGAATGGGTTGAGTCAACGGCCATTCCTCCTGTTTTGTGTCGAATGCTTGGGTACCGGATGAAAGGGGACGTGCAATATTCCCAACGGCGGAACGAAAGACTGGATCGGCATAGTCGCCCACAATTTCCAGAACAAACTGAAGCAAAACAAACTTTGGAAATATTCAGTCAAAGAAATTTACTGCATAACAATTATGTATTTTAGCTGTTTAAAATATGAATTCCCTCGTAGTTAAGCTACAAAATGCTATCAGTATTTTGCTAATTCTTTCTGACCCAGTGGAAGCTTTACCTTGTAAAACAAACAACAACTGAGAGAGGTTTTGTATTTGGGACTGGCTTCTGCCGGCACATCGACTGGTTTAATTTCATTCGCTAGTGTTTTCAAGGCTTGTTGTAAGATGGCTGCATCGGCGATGTTTTTGCCGGTTAGAAATGTTTCTGTTGCATCCGCATGAATCTGCGAAAAAGAATTTGTTATAAAACTTTGTTAAATTTGTTTTCATAGCCAAATTGCCACCCCATGATCCAACATTTCTCACTGATACATGCGCCGTTTTGCTGATAATTTCGGCTAATGCCGGAAGATGTTGAAAACCGGGTGCGTCGCGGTATTTACGAAACACTTCGATGACATCTCGCAATGGCAGATTAGCTCCGATGCTAACGAGATTGTCCGTCTTGTCCACTTTGTACAAATCCTTAATGCCTTTCATGTCCATATAGGCTGTATAGAACGGATCGTCATAAACACCAATGCCGGTGTGACCCACGACGTAGTAAAAACTCGTTCCCGGGTTCGTTTTAATAAGCTGGTAAGCTTCGTTGAGTGAAGTCGGTTTATACCATGGGAAAGCATTTTCCGTTATGGTCTTCGGTAAAGAACAAACTTCCACCTGGGTCTGGTGACCGTTACCGCAGCGTCCGGGGCAGTGGCGCGATTTTACGCAAGGTGGTGTTCTATGATCCTGGGAAATGCAACAAAGCCCACCGGTCAGTATCAGCGCGCGTCAGCGGTACCGAACGCGAAGACAATAAAGACATGAGCAAAAAATCTATCTACTTCATCTTTCACAGTCAGAATAAAAAATGCTTAACTTACAAGTTTAAGATAAATTTTAGCACAGCGCCTTCTTCAGAAATATATATGGTTAAAGTTAAACTAATTGCAGTTCCCCTAATAGCAGCCTGTTAACGTTTTCAGATTACTTCAATATCCAAACAGTTTTTGGCGTCTTCGTCACTGTCAGACTTTGCGAAAGATTTGAAGGCATCCAAAATGGGACGATAACCTAACGCATCATAACATAATAATACTATGTAACTATATATATACAAGTATATACCTACATATATTTTTTGTATTAGAAATTACGAGTTAAGGCATGTATAAATAGAAATGGAGAAAAGCCTAAGATAACCTGACAGAGGCGTCCCAAATATAAGTAAAACGCAATTACTGTTAAAGGATTAGTTTCTAACTGTCAGAAACGAAAACTGTTGATATGATAAATTACGAATATGTTGTTGACATTTAATGCAACCAACCGGTGCAACGGCATATGTTTCCATCAAAACCATTTTCAACCAGCTGTTTCGTTAACTGGCCTTCCGGCGCATTCTGTACAAGGCTGCAACAGACACATCGACACATTACAAAATATCATGACAAGCGAACGAGGAACAACCCTGACAATATTTGACGATATAAAAATTTTGCATATTAAACCAAGTTGTAATTTAGCACAGATTTACCAAAAATTTAAACAATAAATGCCAAAAGCGAAAATCGTATTTAATTACCTGTACATAGTCATAACCCAACCGGATGTACAGTAGCCACACTGTGTTCCATAATGTTCCGTGAGGCGCGATTGAATAACATGAGGCTTATTTTGATCTCCAATGCCCTCAACTGTGGTGATTTCCCAACCATCGCAAGAGAGAATGGGACACAGGCACTGATTCGAAAATATACAACAAAAGTCTAAATAATTATTCATTGCAAAATTTTATGGATACTTCGAAGTATATATATTTTGTATGAGAGGTTGTTACTGTACCGAATTTAATACTACACACTACATGTCTAATATCGACAGAACGACTTATACACACGGAATTAATTGAGCGCTGCACAATTTGTCCGCTGCCGGCAGTATCGGGATATGCGGCATGCACAATGCACACTCCGCATCCTCCTTCTCTGCACATGACCTTGGTTCCAGTTAGCCCGAGGTGATCCCGCAAGTAATCATTCAGGGAGACGTCGGAATACGTTGTTGGTACTAAAAATATGCAGCACATGTCTCCTGGATCGCAGTTTGTTAGTTTTAATATGAATGCATCGGACGATAGTTTACCGTTGTATTTTTTTCCATTGATCACAACTGTGACACTGCTCCCATCGCGGGCGTCATGGGTTTCGACTGGTGGACCCATTTCTGTGTTTTTTGACAAATACAGTCAAACACTGTTACTGATTAGTGATGGTTTAAAAACAACTGCATCACCGTCTCGCAAGCTGACCCAACTAAAATAGACGACAGTGAAACCAACTTCAGCGTTAACTTTCGGCGCAAAATGCGAGCGTGAGTATTTCGAACGTTTGTATCGTATATGACCTTCTACTGTAAAGTCAAAGTCTTTAATCATGATCTGCAGCAGTATTTATATACAGTTTTTCGTTCACAGCGAAACCCCCCGATGGCAATGGAGATCTACATATTATTGTACGCATTGGTGCGACTGCAGTGGCAGGCAATTACAGCATCAAATTTTACTGCACGCGAACCGGTTTATTATTGTATAATTGAATGTATTTCGTATCATTGTCAAAAACTGCATTTATATTTCCAATTTGAAATTATTGTATGAATTTTATGATCTTTTTCTAAAACAGGGTATTAAACTATGGTTCTTATACGTATTATTACAGACTAGAATTGTTTTAACGGACTAGAACTGTTTTCCTAAACTAATGTACGATATTCGACATTATGTACGACCAGTACGGGTATGTAGTGTAGTGTCGTTCACCGTATCCGTTAACGGGTAGCGACTACTTAGACGACGCTTTCCAAAACATTGATTTCCGGAAAAAAACTGCTTACATAAATGATAAAATTATGACAACGTTAAGTTTATGAACTGTGAAATGCCGGCACAAATATAATATAGTGTAAAATCACAACTTTGTTTCATCTGCTCAGTGTCTTTTCTGTGAAAGTATATAGAGAGTTCGAAGAAATCCGACAGCGCAGCACAGATGTTAGTGATTCTCGGCAGATGTCCATATGTTTGAACGGTAGAAAGCCATTAACCGGAGAAGTTCTGTGTTCCTCTTATTTTTCTAGTCCAGAATCTTAATCATTCCCCACGCTCGCGATGTCCGTCAATAAATCCGGAAGTGATGTAGGCAAGTAAACCTGCAAGTTGCTCCCTGTCCTGCTGGTTGTACATATAATTCATGAATTGCAGGATTAGATGTTGCATTCGAAGAAATGAAAGAGTTGTCGGATCGTGGTGCAAAAAACATTATTGATGTACGAGAACCATCGGAACTTGTAGCGGAAGGAGCTATTCCGAGTGCAATTAACATTCCCCGTAAGTCGCACCGGTTAAACAAAGGGACGACATTAGAACTGGTTAGCTGCTACGATACTCCCAAAATGTAAAATTATTAATCATCTATAATGCAGTCACACTACTGAAGCTTAGATGAAAAACTTACTGCTCACTGGTTAGTCTACCTACTTCGACACTAAGCACCCAATTAAAAAAAGTCTATTAATTTCGCACTCTTCGGTATGCAATGTGCTTAGTTGCGAAGTTGAAAGAGACACTGCAGCTCACTCCTTCGGATCTTAATGCATTACACGGACTGGCTATAACCGATCATAACAGCGAAATAATCCTCACTTGTCGCTCTGGAGCTCGCAGCGCACGTGCTCGTGAAATGGCCAAGGAAGTTGGATATACCAAGTAGGTGTGCTGACACCATTCAACTGACTTGGAAAACTTTACCCATGTACAGTTTTATTCTTGGAATGCCGGAATCTCCGGCGCTGATCTTTCGGCTAACGCGAACCGACTGCTGCCAGACGATGTTTTCAAAAACAAAAGCTGTAAAGTGTAAATTGAAGTGATATGTGGCTTTTGATTGCAGTATACGTGTTTACGGTGGCGGAATACTGGAATGGAATGTCAAAAAGTGAACAAGTGTTTTGTCGTGGTTTACTGCATCCTTTGGGAGGCGCACACTGTAGGTGTGACTGCAGATGTTGACATTTGACAGGGAAAACTTTCCTGTGATTGTGTGACGGACTTTGTACGAGTACGGATTAATGATAGCAACAATAGACCAATAACGAAAGAATGGAAAAATGCAACTTTTCTTCCACATGAAAATCAAAACCGAGTGGTTTATCCTTATTTTGTTTTTGTTTTCCTATTAATTTGTCTCTCAGTGGTTATGTTGATGCACCGGTAAAACAATATACCGGTAACCAGCAGTAACGTACCATTAATTAATGGTGGGTACAAACAGTGATAAAATGGAACACTTCAAACACGAACAAAGGAAGACGCAATAAAAAACAAAGATTTAGAATGTTAAATTACTAAATTACATCAGTCATACAATTAAAACTTGATATCATTGTGAGAGGTAGGCAGAATTATAACTGTAATCTATTAAGAGCCGGGCATAAGGAGCGCAGTTGGGAGATGGAAGTTTGTTATCGCGGATAAGTAACTACTGGCAGGAACTGAAACTACAATAAAAATTCACTAGCGCGGCGTACCTAGTCGCGATAACGCAGCTGCGCAATATCAAATCCACAATACTGCTGAGTCCGCTCCACTGTCATTGGACAAACTACATTATGAAAATAGCAACCACTTGAAGTAAGATTTTTCACAATAAATTACATCAATTTATCATTTACCCAAATCAAACCAAGCCGCCTGGTGGCCCAATTCTGCGTGACTAGCGCTTATCGCGTCCCGAATGGCGAAAACAACGGAACATGACATATCCAGGGGCGGTTCCGCCGACACTGTTAACGACAATGTGATTACTCACTGACTGGTTAAAGTAAAATGCACCTGTTGAGGTGCGCTTGAATATGTTCGCAAAATCTTGTACTGATCAAAGAAAAAATGTTCAATAATTGATTTTTACACCAGGAGAGGGATCACCGCGTAGTGTGACGGAATAATTTTGAATTCACCTTTGCTTCGCAAAACACCTAACGGGTTCGAGCGTCATGGCGGAATACTGGAATGGAATGCCAAAAAATGATCGTGTTTTGTCCTGGTTTACTGCATCTTTTGGGAGGCGCAGACTGGAGGTGTGACTGCAGATGTTGACATTTGACAGCTTGGAAAACTTTCCTGTAATTGTGCTCCGAAGGCAGACTTTGTAGTTTGTACGGATGAATGATAGCAACAGTAGACCAATAACGAAAGAACGGAAAAATGCAAGTTTTCTTCTACGATGAAAATTAAAACCGAGTGGTTTATGCTTATTATGTTTTTGTTTTCCTATTAATTTGTCTCTCAGTGTCAGCTGATTACTGATACATCGATCCACTGCGCTAGTAAAATTTTTAAAAAGGTTATGTTGATGCACCGGTAAAACAATATACCGGTAACCAGCAGTAACGTACCATTAATTAATGGTGGGTACAAACAGTGATAAAATGGAACACTTCAAACACGAACAAAGGAAGACGCAATAAAAACAAAAGATTTAGAATGTTAAATTACTAAATTACATCAGTCATACAATTAAAAACTTGATATCATTGTGAGAGGTAGTAAAGCAGAATTATAACTGTAATCTATTAAGAGCCGGGCATAAGGAGCGCAGTTGGGAGATGGAAGTTTGTTATCGCGGATAAGTAACTACTGGCAGGAACTGAAACTACAATAAAAATTCGACTAGCGCGGCGTACCTAGTCGCGATAACGCAGCTGCGCAATATCAAATCCACAATACTGCTGAGTCCGCTCCACTGTCATTGGACAAACTACATTATGAAAATAGCAACCACTCTGAAGTAAGATTTTCACAATAAATTACATCAATTTATCATTTACCCAAATCAAACCAAGCCGCCTGGTGGCCCATTCTGCGTGACTAGCGCTTATCGCGTCCCGAATGGCGAAAACAACGGAACATGACATATCCAGGGGCGGTTCCGCCGACACTGTTAACGACAATGTGATTACTCACTGACTGGTGGGAAAGTAAAATGCACCTGTTGAGGTGCGCTTGAATATGTTCGCAAAATCTTGTACTGATCAAAGAAAAAATGTTCAATAATTGATTTTTACACCAGGAGAGGGATCACCGCGTAGTGTGACGGAATAATTTTGAATTCACCTTTGCTTCGCAAAACACCTAACGGGTTCGGAGCGTCATGCAGCAGCTTCACATTCCATTCCAGGGGAATATCTCTGGCCAATGGTGGCTTGTACTTCCACGTACTCGGGGTCAAATTTTGTCCCGTTCCCTCATCGTAAATTACTTCTTCACTGGTGTAGTAGCCCAGTCCCATGATAATGGCACCTTCAACCTGACCGATATCTAATCACAAAGTGCATTTTTTATCAAGAGTTTATACAGGGTATTCCAAGATGCGTCCTACCAATAATGGGAGACAAACTTTCTCCGCAGTCGTATAATACATCAACACGATTGATCTGGTGCTCGCCGGTCAACACATCAATTTCCACTTCCGTTACAGTAGCACCGTAAGTGGAATACTGAATGGTGTCGGGTGACGCAGGAACATGCCTTTAGGGGCGACAAAGCATACATCATCTCAAAACACAATTCCAGAAATCCACAATAAAACTCGCAATATTGATATTAGAAAAAATTTCGACAACAACCTGTTTAAATTCAAACAACGCTCAAAAGGCCCATAAATTTTGATTTTCAACTACCCATGTTATGTCAGCCCATCGCTTACCAGTATCGTGCCGTAAGGTCAACACCAGCGTCATAGCAAGCTTCCACGATCGCACCCCATTCTGCACCATCCTGCTGCTTCTTCTTTATAGGATTGATGACCTCCATCAGTTTCTTCGCGCACTGGATAGCCGCCTGCATAACAACACATTACACAAACAAGTCAGTGTACACTGTTATTTGGACTGGATGCAATTACTGTATTCAATCCACTACTAACCATGCAAGCCAATTCGCTGGTAACGCTACCACCGGTAGTCATATTATTCGCCGTAATAATCGCTTGGGTTGACTGGATCATGATGTACTTCATGTCGATGCCCAGCTCCGCAGCAACACACTGCGCAACCTATGCAACGCTCCATAGTACCAGTAAAACTGAATTTAAACCTGCGAAGCTTGAACAACACTTACTATTAAATTTTGTATTTAAGGTTGAGTATTGTTTAGTGAAGCATTTCCCAGAGATTTTGGTAATGACAGTTCGGAAAAATCAAAATGCAGGCTCCGTAATGCGCATAAGACAGTGGTATCACATACCTTTGTATTTACGCCCTGGCCAATTTCTATTCCACCATGAACAACGGCAACATAGCCTCCGTTGCGGAAGATGGCAATCAAACACGAGTAATTAAAACCGTTCCATGCGACACCATAGCGCATTGGCACGATTGTCAATCCCCTTTTCTTCCATCGGTTAGTAGTGTTGAATTCCCTAGCGGCCTGAACGCGTTTGTCGTATTCAGAACTATCCAGCAGCTGTTTGGTAATTTCCTTCAGCGTAGGCTTATGCAGTTTTGAACCATCCAGAACTTTATCACCATCGTTGTAATAATTCAGTTGCTTCACTTCAATCGGAGGTTTCTGCAGATAGTGAGCAACGTGTTCCATAATATGTTCGATGGTATAAATGGCTTCAGTGCTGCCCGGCGCTCGACACCAGGTGTTAGCTGGGATATTCGTCTTGCAGCATTTCATACTGAGCTTCCACGACGGACATTTGTACCCTGACAAAAGCAACATAATGTTAACGGTCGCTTCCTACGATCGATCAAGAAAAAAATCTACTACGTAAGCAAAAGAACTTGGCTTCGTAAATATCTGCTTTCTGCACATTATTTTTCTCGGCATTTCGAAATTACAGTATGGTGTCAACGAAAACCACTAAGTCGGTAGCTGGTTGAAAAGATCGATGAAATTTAACAAGACAGATTCAGAAAATAGATTAAATTTTGGTGATACTGACCGCTGTCAATCCATTTCTTAATTTCTCCGAATGGACTATCATTTGCTGCAATGCCGTTATTAGCATAGAAATTGATCTTGATGCCTTCCAGCTTTCCGTTCTCATCAAAACCGACTTCGTATTTGACATAGTTGGCCAGGCGTTTTCCAATTACTTTCATGTTATCCCACAAACTGGTATGCATTTTCACAGGTCTTAGGCACAAAAGACAAAACAATCAGAGTATGGCACATTAAATTATATCGCATCGCATAAGGAGTCGTAAACCTTCTGCAGAATTAATCCGGAACTTTTAAACTTACCGGCGTGTTACATACGCTGCCAGGGCACATGCTGCAGATATGATATTATTGCGGGTAATTTTAGCTCCGAATCCGCCTCCATTCCGTTTTACCGACACATTAATGCTACAAAACAAATCATCCGCCTCTCATTCGCCAAAGGCCAGCTAGAATATGCAAAACTCTATCGACGTACGCGTTTTTATTCAGTCCGGTGACCTTTGCCATGCAGTCTTGCGTATGATCAATCCACTGAGTTCCCGCTTCGGCGTTCAAACCATCTTCCGTTGGGATCACCACACAAACCTGTTAATCCACAAGATCATGTAGTTTACGTTGCGCTCCTAGAAGCAGCTAATGATCATCAAACGAAAATCGAATCAAACCTGAGTTTCCATGTGGAAGTGAGCCTGAGTTCCGATTTCAAATTCCCCCATCACTTTGTTCTTAGCTTTCTGAAAGGCCTTATCCACATCTCCTACCACGAGATCCTCTGGAGACTCATAGAACGCCTCACGGACAACGGCTTCTTTACAGGATACAACCGCAGGCCGTACATCTTTACATTCCACCTTCACCAGTTTGGCTGCTTCTTCTGCTATTGTTTTGGACACTGAAGCAGACAAAAACGATTTTACGCTAACCCACGGTGCTTAATTAAACGATGGTCGGCGGCGACGCCAATTACTGAGACCCGATCGGGGCACAATTAAAAACGTACTTGTACTGTTATAAAATATTACGACTGGAAATGAGTAACTGAGGAGCATCTCTAAACAGCTAATAATCCAAATTCCGTGCAACCCGGTTATTTATGGGCGTTTTAAACATACCGGCTACGATAACAGCAACAGGTTGCTCAAAATATAAGCATTCGTCCGATGCCAGCAGTTCTTCGTCCTTTTCTGATGGCAAACATCCACTAAAACTATTCACTCCTGGGATATCTTTTGCGGTCAAAACCCGAACGACTCCAGGAACAGCCTGTATCAACATCAAATTTGATTACGGCAGTTTATCCTGTGACTGTTAGTAAACAAAGAAACAAACAGTAGCAGTAAACAGTAAAAAAAATTAATAGCCAAGCTAGCCACTGTAACCATTACCATTGCACGAGAAGTATCGATGCTAACGATTTTTCCTGGTCCGTGCAGGCAAAGTGCAAAAGCGGCATGCAACAGTCCTTCTTGTTCAATATCGCTGATATATCGAGCTTCACCGGTACATTGTACCACCGATTCCAACTTCGGTATCGGCTTGGTAACTGGCCAGTTTTTTTCCACTGTGGGATACGACTGCGTTCCTTTCGACACCGGACGCTCTTCGTCAAAACTTGTGATGGCTGATTTATATTTGAGGTCCACCAGGCTATGTAAATCCAATGCTTGCAACCCAAACTATGAAAACAAACCAAACAGAATTGCTAAAAGCGATTATTCATCAGCAACGACATTCGTTGCTTTAGAGTTCTAGATTCTAATTTCTTGATATTGGAGTACTCCAGCACCAATTTTAATAAAAACGGAAAACAAACGCATTCCGCTATTAGTCAGATGTCAAACACAGCTGTACGGAAAACTCGATATGGAGAATTTTATGCGAGGTTAAACCGCTACCATCCCAACTTTGTGCACAACCTACTTCGCAAATTACAATCAATTCAATGGTTTAATCCACTATTATTTCCCATAGCCCTCTTACGACAAACCCATTACTACTTTGCACTAATCTCTATGTACTCAATACAGCTATAAAAAAAAAGTACGAGTACTTGAGAAAACAGTGTGATTGTACGCTCGAAATCTAAAAAAAATAATGGTACTAATCAAGGCCTGTCTGCTGTGTACAGATAATACAGATATAATACAGATATAACCTTTCTTGGGTACATTACATTTCTTGAACTGTTTAACAGTTACTCCATTTTAGTTACAAACCGTATTACGCCAACGGTACGTAAGGAAATGCCGTGTTTGGTCGATAACAAAGATTATAAACATGATGATCCATCCCTATTCACTACGATCTCGTATACAAAACAGATTACATAAAATAATTAGAAAACTAAATTATGAACGATTTCACAAAACTAGTTTTACATTAAGTACATAAAGCAAGCGAGAGTCAGAAAGTGGATCTCGTTAGCTGTCTTATTCTTTTCGCTCAGTTTACTTCTTAAGTCTTAAATACTTATTAATCCTCTGATACGTACGGCTACGTACTTTAACCGCTTCTGAGTTTCGTTCAAAATACTTTAACTCAACAAAACCTGTCTCAGTTACGGACGTAGGAAAAAATGATGATATTTACACTTCCTGAATAAAATGCAAGTAGGTGGATAAATACTTACTTACCTTAGTTCAATTACCTATTACAGTAAATTACCTATTACAGTAAATGAGTATAAAAATTATACTTCTGCAGTTCGGCGAAGTAAAAACGCCGTAGAACGCTTGGCAACATGTGCAATTACCATGGTTTCCTCCTTCAAACATCCGCTATGTATTTAATTTTTAAAACTCGTTGTCAGATCAAATTTCAAATTTGATTCTGACTGTGGTACTATTTCCTCAAGCTACCCGAGTCTACTCACTAAGGCTTTGCTGCTGCAATATTTCAATTAATTTTTGCAATACCTCTCCTTTCACTGCGCAACTGATAGCATGCTAGCCAGAAACGTATGTCATCCTGCTGGGCGTGCTGATGATGGCCGCTTACAGCTACGCCCAAATGGACTTCTACCCTTTTACGAATCTGGACCAGAATTCGGACCTCGCTAATATGGCTCTAGACCGGCCTAAACGCTTTGGTTTTGGTTACAGCTGTTGTGGATGGTTCCGTCAGACTTGCTGCCATGGATGATAAACTGCTACCAATTTCGAACTTGCCCAGCCCCCGAATTTAATGGAGTCACAAAAACCACGGCATGTTTTAGTTTCAACGATTGCCACTTTGTTATCGGCAGTATTTATCTTCTGTCAGATATTTTAAAAAAGCTAAAATACTTGTGGTAATTGCAATAATAAACGTGAATATTATTGTCGTGCCACATCGACCGAATAACTTACAATGATATGTTATCGCACGAAACAAATGATATAAAAATTAAAAGTCACAATTATTCAAAATAACTACGATCTCCGTAATACGTACGAATATTCAAAACAGGAACAAGCACATAATCGTCCATACCTTATAGAACAAATTAACGGCCAAAGCACGCTTGTAAGCAGGACTCGCTTCCGATTTATCTTCCGCAGGTTGAATTTCCTGCGCCAAGGTTGTCAGTGCCCTTTGAAATGTGTCGTTGTCAGCCAGATTCTTGCCAATAAGAAACTCTTCCGTGTTACTGGCACGGATCTACAATTCAGAGATTTGTCTAAACACGGAAAATGTCATAAACAACTATAAAACTTTTGAATTAGGCCATTACGAATTCTTCTGCTATATTTCCATAAGCCAAAACCGGCCTATCGACAATCACAAGCTGATTTCCTTCATTCAAAAGTTTTGCGCGAAATCCGGCGTTAACGTAGGCATGAGAATTCTGTAATAATACAAACATGTTTTATTTTTAATACATTTTATGAGCTTTATTTTATCGTTTTACAGCGGATCGCGGCATAATCTTGAAAGTGCGAAAAACGTGGGATTTATCGAACTGCTTCAAAGTCAGCTTTGTCACAATTTTATTTTTCAAATCCAAATTCACGAATTCTTCGGGGGTGTAAGATTTTTCATCCGGGCCTATAAAACAACTCGTTTAATTATTTTGTTCGGTATGTCAAATGCCAGCTTAACAAACTTTTACCGACAAACACGGACGCGTCACACATGACCAGCGCGATGAAAGTATCCGACGGAAATTCCTTGTGCCGATTTCGCATCGCCAAGTTTCCACCCCAAGAACCAGCCTACTCAGAAATTTACAACGATATTTGCTTTTGTTAACATTGTATATCAGTAAACCGATGCAAAAAATTATTGTACTTCTTCGCCACCGCTCGCAAACCGACCACTGTTACTTCAGGGGTCGCCACAGCGATCACCCACATTTTAAATTCCCTAAAAGTATTGTTCTTGATTTCATAATTGATAGTTGCATTTTTCCTGCACAAAAAAACGGGATTTAAAAAACTCGGAACGAGTTGCGGAAACCAAAAACCGGTACCTTTGTCTCTTATACCGCACTATTATCACTTTCTTTACTATCAAAGTGAAATCAGTTGAACTGGGAAATGCAGAGATTTAACCTGATCTCTACGAGTAGCAGATGAAAATTTGGGTGATCGCTGTACTGATCGGTAAGCAGAAGTTATCGTTTTGCTAGCGGGTTCCAGGTATACTCTGTACAACATCGACGATTATTTTTTTTCGTGCCGTTTCCCGGCAAAAGCTAGATAAAAAAGGTATTTATATATGAAAGCCGGAATAGTGTAATTTTATGAAAACTGAGAATATTTTTACATAATTTACTTACATTTCGGACCGCAGGATGGGCAGTTTTGCTAATCAAACGAGCAAAATGTTCCAGATGTGCAAAACCGGGATCTGTTTGGGCTTCTGACTTGAAAAAGTCAATCATATCCGTTAAGGAGACACCGCTACCTATTGCACGATTGATAGGCATATCGATTACAACAGCACATCCTTATGATAATTAAGCTTGGGACAACTCGTACCAATGGTAATGACACCGTCCTTCTTATCAGTCACAAACATTTCGCGAATTCCACGCAGACTGATAAAACCATCGTACGGACCATCATCATACACTCCGATGCCGGTATGGCCGCAAACATAATATGGATTCTTCAGCGTAGAACTTTCCAGCAGTTTGTACAGGTCCGCCAGCGACGTAGGTCTGTACCATGGCCGAGCGGCAGCACGTGCAACTTCGACCAGAGGACGAAAATAATTGGATCCGTTATCATCGCACACTCCATTACACTGTTTTCCCGTTTTCGAACATATCCGCTTAGAGACGTCCTATTCAGTTTATAAATTTGTATGAAAAATGTGAAGTCTAATAAGAGGTTCTATAGCAATACCTCGATATCGCACGCCGGTGACGCCGATTCATTCGTGAACTCTTTAAAAGCATCCAAAATCGGTCGATATCCTACGGAACACGGCGTTAGTTTGCATTAACTGTTTTCACCTGTCAAACAGCCCCAGCAAAAACTAATGCACACTTACCCGTACAACGACAAATGTTCCCATCAAGTGCGCTTTCCGCTTGAGTAGCGGTTAATGATTTGCCTTCCTTTCGGATAGTACTGTAATAGAAGCAATTTAGCATAGAAGTATATTCATATCCCATATGTAGTGCAATTCTGAGAAATATAATCCAATCTGCGATTATTGCCGAATACAATATTTTTAATCAAAGTAGCTGCTACAATTTCAGAATCTGTTGTCATCTTCCAAACGCAAGCAGAATTTTTCAAATACTGACTGCTGTGATCCAACCCTTTGTACCTTTTCTCATCGCATTAATAATAAAGAATGAAACAATTGCTCTGAGCGCATCGCAACATACTTAAGCTCATTTACCAGAAATGCGGTACTTTTAATAAATTTGAAGCTTCATACATTCACGGCAGGTCAACAACGCTACTGTACACTGCAGTAGTGTTATTGACCAATTCACCCATGCTTCTCCACTTGTTTATCTGTACAAACAAAAAAAAACAACCAATTCTTCTCCACTTATTTACCTGTACATAGTCATAACCATTCCGGGAGTACAGTAGCCGCATTGTGATCCCGAATGTTCGGTTAGCTGCTTTTGGATGGGATGGGGATTCTTCTGATCACCCAAGCCTTCCACCGTTGTTATTTCCCACCCATCACAGGAAAGAATCGGACACAGGCACTACCGTACCAAAAAGCGTATTATAAGTACTAAGTGCAAAAACCGGTTATGCAAATACGCAGTTAACACCTACAGAATTGATGGAGCGTTCTTGGAATTTTCCGTTTCCGGTAGGTACTGCAGCGTGTACAATACATACACCTAAATAAAAAATTCCATGCAAACTCAAAATATGCTACAAAAAGTGCTTCTGTTTTCACGCATTAAAATAGTCAACCGGCTGTCCAAAACGGCTAATGCAAGAAAATCAAAATAACAATGCGAAAACGCAAAGGATTAACTCCAAACATACCACATCCGCCCTCTCGGCACATCACTTTCGTCCCAGTAAGTTGGAGATGGACACGCAGAAAATCATTCAGAGATGTTGCGGAGAATTCCGGCGGCACTGGAAGAGGAACACGCCTAAGTTTTACTACGCCGCATGCAAGTCAAAGCCAGATGTTGCTTCAAAGAAGATTTTGCGAGGCGTAAGAACTGTCATATACTCGTAGGATCAACGAAATACATGAAAAAGCATTTCTTTTATTTTCACCCATGCCTGCGTGTCGAAGTTTGTAAAGTTAAAACGGGCTTACCTGCATATTTTTTTTGCCGTTGATGGTGACTACAATGTTTGAGTCGGATCCTCCTTCGTTCACCATTTTGTGTCACAGAAAAGCAGCCGAAATGTAAAGAGTTAGCTAATAAGCGATTTAGAAGGAAAAGCAAGTGGACAGCAATTAGCAAAACCGAAAAATACTTCTAGATCAGAAACGATTGTTGTGACAGGTTGACAGCCACTGCAAACATTTGAATCGTAAACAGCTGCAAAGTGAATATTATTCACTTTGCTGGCGGCAAGCACGTGCGTGATGCGGTCCAGACATATCAGCTGTGTGATGCGCAGACTGGACGAGTGCACAATAATACCATAGAAAAGGAAAATACGCACGCACGCACGCGTGTGTAGTACGCACGCTCGTAGCCGATCCTCTCTGCCAGTCTTAACAACTTGTGGTCGAGTTGTAATGAATTGTGTAAACACGCTGTGCCTGCATATTTAATGAGAAGCGATATCTCGAGATATTAGTCCATTACATCAAGACACCTTCCCACTTGTTACCGATTCAGTTGTAAAGATCGAAGTCCATCGAAAGCAAGTGACGCATAAAAAAACAGCCATTAGCGTGATAACAGATCAACTGGCAGGAAGACAGCAATGAACGCTACATCAAAACACCGCCATATGTTTTGGCGCGAAGAGAAGTGCAGTGCACTTGTATCTTTTGCATGCATATTTTCCAGAGAAAATCCAGTGTGCATTCTGCACAGTTTGGACTTTTTGCGATAACCGTGTCTGTAATATTATTAATATGGCCCCGCGCAAAAGTAAAAGAAAATTAGCAATAGAACTTGTTGAAAAGCTAATTTTATTAAATTCCTCGCGTACTTTTTCATCACTGCGATTTTTATTGGATGAACAAGAGTTACTGCTGCATTTGTCTGCACGTAGACAGGAAGAAGATGAGTCTCTTCTTTTAATGATTCGAGGTTACCTGCACGTTACTCGTTATTTAAATCCCCGTTTAACGGTGCCGAAAAGTACTAATTTTCTTCGACTTATTTTGCCCCGCCTGGACGATGACAGATTCCGACAAGAATGCCTGATGGCATTATAGTTCGCACCGTTGGATTAATTGTTTTGGCCATCAACAGTATTACAGTATATGACAAAATCAAATTTTGTAAAAACGAGGGTCAGTTAATTTCTTTGTCAATAGTATTCCACAGTTTATTAAACTGGTCTATTTTGAAAACCAACACACCATGAAGTTAATCTGCTTGCGCTCATTCATGTAAAGCGTGCAGACACTGATGCGAGAGTGCAATGCCGAAATGAAAAGCAGCTCGGGACCTGCTTTTCATTTCGGCATAACGTTTTGGAAGTTGTATGTGTGTCATACTCCATATCGCCAATCCCAGCTGCTGCGCTTATCTCAATGGACTTTGATCTTTACAGCCAATTCGGTAACAAGTGGGAAGGTGTCTTGATGTAATGGACTATTGTGGTCATATTTAAAAACTAAACACACGGTTGTGATCGTTAAGGCGTAAGGAGTATGAATCTTAAAAAAAATTGAAAAATAACATGCGCATAAGCAAATAATTCACTATCCAAGCTAACGGGGGGCATAAATCGCGGATGGAAATGCATTCTCAATGGGGCATGCCGACCTTCTGTCCGGCTCCCTTGGCTCGGTTCCGGACCAGTAGCACTGCACGTGTGCCTTTGTTTGCATAGACCGGCCGGACCAGCGCGCGCGCTATTTCTGCGAAATGCTCAGTGTATTTCTGTTAGCAGTTAGTTCAACATAATAACATTATGCAACTTAAAATGCCACTTTGTGCTCAAATATGGGTGGATGCGTGTTTGATTAATGATTACAAATCTTTTTAAATGAACTCAATGCACATCTCGGAGATATAGTCTGATTGTGTACCTTTAAACGGCTGTTTATTTGACATTGGAAACAGCAAGGCAACCAACCCGTATAATGGTGATTGGTGAGTACAACTGTACAAGAACCTGACGCATAACTTATCAAAATACATAACAAAGGCTTTTCTGCATGACAGTATTTGGCCATCCGTCGTAATTAATGTTAACGTTACGCACAATTTTGCAAGGAGAATAATTGTTTTTTCGTCATAAAATACATATGTAGTTTTATGCCACCCAGCTGGGAAGTAAAATCAAGCGGGACAAAGAAGAATCGAAACGACAAAATGCGGCCGCGAGAAAAACGAAAGCGGTCAAAAGATATGGCCAAACGTAATGTTGCAACGTTGTTTTCTTTTTGTCACTGAAATCTTCTGTTGCTTCGTACTTGAGTTTTAAGGGTTTTTTTTGTGTTTGTTTTAATTGTTTTCTGGCATCCTTTGTTATCGTCGTACAATTGTGAATGCTTCAACTTGTGAACTGTAGTGGGTTACTGTGTTAAACTGATATTTCTGCAATGATTCCTTTAGCATTACGCTTGGATTGTAGAGTTAAAAAATAATTGTTGTTTTTCGTTGAGAACTGCATATATCATTGATTGTAATTTCCAATACGTAATATTAAGCACCAGTTATATACTTGCATGAAAATACACCAATGTATCTGTACAATTAAGTGCTTTAGTAGTAAGTACATCAATAATTTTGTGAGTACTGTACTTTATGGTATCTTTTTTGGAAATAGTAACGGCTACTGTAATGGAAGTACAGTAAGTGCTTCTACGGCTCGGAATTAAGTCAGCTCTGAACTGCAAACTGCCTAAGCCGTTGCTTCGCCGCCCGATCAGCAAATTGTGGGTACAGTTTGTTTACACAATTCATTACAACTCGAGCACAGGTTGTTAAGACTGGCAGAGAGGATCGGCTACGAGCGCGCGTACTACACAGTACTGTGTTGTCGAGTCAACTTGCCACCTTTTTTTACAGTGAGTCGTATCCGATTAGCATATAACTCACTGTAAGAAAAGGTGGCAAGTTGACTCGACGATACAGTAATTCAAGTCGATATCATGGCGTCAAAAATGGCGTCAGAACATAAATCGCATAAACAATCCATATTGATACATTTCGCGCATTAGGCGTTGCACTATCATAGTCCACATCGATGGCCACTAACAAAATTTGTGCACGTAGCAGCCATACTATTATGATTTTTGCTTCTCATTCGCCCTCCACTCTCATTATATTTTGTTACGTATACACCGAAGTACTTTTTTACACCTTTTTTTCCTGCCGCAATGTAAATTTTGAACAACGCATAAATTTGAACGTTACATTATCACACGTTTTTAAGTACATTTATGTAAATCTGCAAGCGCTTGTATTGCATTGCCTCATTTTACAACTGTTCACTTTATTGTATTTGAAAACGAAAAATGCGATGCACGAACAATAAATTAGTAGTACCATTCGTACGGAAAATACGTAAGTCAAATTTTTTTTTGCTTACACACAAAGTTTCTGTCCATACATATCATTTATATTCTCAAGTACAACCAGTTAAGAAGTGACATACGAACTCATTAGCATTTGCTCTCTCTGCATTGTCATAAAATTTACAAGTGGAAATTGACACCTGTTTTATCTTTTGATCGGCTTTAACCACACGTGCACCACATCGCACCGTTGTTTACTCTTGACTAGGCATGGCGCGATGATATTGTCATCGTTTCATCATCTCAGGCTAAGAATTGATGATGATATTGTCATCGTTTCATCATCTCAGGCTAAGAAACGGAAGCCTCTTGTGCAGACGTATCTTGCTCCACCAGACAACCGGAAGCGAGCGCCACCGGCGCCGTAGAAGAAACGAAAGGCGGTACATGAGCGCTTCGCGAATATGCCAGCATCGCCCGTACAGTACGGAGCTGGACTTCCTAGAGGTGTGCTTAGCGCTCCCCCAGCTCCGAGGCCGTGGCCGCCTGTAGCTACACCAGGACTGAGGCGTCCACCGGTCATGCCAGGACCGCGCCCCAGCACTTCGCAGATGGTATCAGCAGTTCCACGTACCGAAATGACGATAAGGCCGAACGTGCCGCTCCAGCTAGTGCGTCCATGGAGTCCCAGGATACATCCCAACTATGCCCGGATACTACCCTGATATGCCAGGATTTGGACAGCCGTTTCCGCACTGGTATCAGCCGAATGCGTATCAGCGGGAGTACGACATGATGATGAACATCATGCATGATTTTGGTATCAATGGGAACGGTAACAATCGGCTCGGATATGGTATGAACGGAAACGACAATAACGGGCTTGGATTCAGTATGAACGGGAACAACAATAACGGGCTCGGATTCGGTATGAACGGGAACAACAATAATGGCCATGGAAACGGTGTCAACGGAGATAATAATAACGGATTTCAGTAAGTTTCGGCGACGCAAAGTATCTTGACTACCAGCGTTGTTGACATCATTGCATAATTTAACCGCATGCTATTAAGCGCGTTATAATTACAATTAGTTGCATGCTATCGGTTTATTATACTAGCTGTGCAACATTATTTTCATTCAGGGTAAATTAATTCTGTGGTTTAAGTGTAACTGTATAAACGTCTTGATGCTGATTATGTTGCTTTTATGGCTGTTTCACTGCTCAATGTTTAGCTGCTTATGATCTGTATGTAGGGTGTATTCCAAAACCGTGCGCTGTTTCCGTGTATTATTGATTGTGTTTATAATCTCATAAGTTGAATACTGGTATGAATATTCGGCTCGATGCATGTATATGGATGATACGTTTCTTTGATATTATATTAATGCCTTATGATAAAATTAAATAAAAATGTTTGCCGATCGGAGAGATGTTGTGTTAACATTGTTGTACCTATACGCATGCCACGCTAGCACAAACAACAGCAACAACAGCCAAAATGAAACTTGAATTTTTTAGAAACAGAAAACTCTACCAGATCAACGCTAACACGCGACGCATCACGACCGCAAACAACTTTCGAACCACGGAAGACAGTTTTACCCTCATATTTCGGCTCAATCCACAGCCGATGTCTCTGATGGCGGTGTCGGCGGAAGTACGTAAACTCTTCAGTCAACTTCTGGCGGAACTTTTAGCTTACCATCAAGCGAATGGCAGTGACAGAGTGCGCCTGTGATCGTGCCGCATTGCATGGTCTAACCCTGACCGAAACTAACGCATTATGCAAAATGGTGCAAATTTTTATTGAATGAATGCAACGACGACGAATGTCCACGCTGTGGATAATATTCCTTCTGGATTCAGTAGCAAACAACACAGTATGATCCTGCACATGACGGTGAATTTTCACCATTTGAAACAATGACTTAGCACACGAAGTGTTTCTG